CACGATTTTTAGGTTAAAATAAAGATCATGATTCTCCAATGATTATGTACAAAAAACTACAGAAAATAACATGTAATTTACTAGCAGTTCTGACAAAATGTTAATTGCTGCACTTTATAAAAAATATTAACTAAAAATAACTAAAAAATATTTAAATAATTTGATTTACTTTTTTATTGGTTTGAATGAATGATTCAATGACTCACTCATAAGGACTTCAGTTGTTTTACTGTATGAATCAGCATTTTTGAATGAATTTCTTGAAAGAATGATTCAATAAACATAAAAAAATTTAAACAGTCACTTGTCACCACCTACTGGTGAAATGATATAATTTATGCAATCTTTATTTGAAGCGTCAAGTTACATTCAAAAGGCGATTTACTCTATTTTGTTTCCTATCGTAGAATTCAGTGTTTATATCTGAATATATATACGATTTTATCCCTGTACTTCTGTGATCATTTGAATTATTGTAACAAAAATAATGATATTGTGATTTTATTTGTAAATCTGTTTGTGAATGATTTTGTTTCTTTCATACCTATACATGACAACTGCTCTCTCTGGGACAGCGGAAGCACCAACGCAGATCTGAATCGCTGTGATCACACTGGTCAAAGGTTTACGCCATAGCCGAATCGTTGTAATTTACTGTAGGAATGAGATCACAATCTTTTAACGATTAATCGTGCAGCTCTATATAAATGTTGGACTGACACCTGTACTTTTGAAAGCCTACAGAGAAAAACAAGATACTGTGTAAATTGGAAAAAAATTGACATAAGATTATTTGCTTCCAATATCGGACTGAACCCTTTAATTATGCTGAACAATAATACAAATACTAATATTAAACTATAGCGATATGATAAACAAATGCTAATATTGGCATAGCAGGTAGAACAAAATTCCACACCTGTCTTCAACCTATTCTGAGTCACTGAACTGAATAAATGATTTTTTTAAAGGGGTCATATAATGCCATTTTTGTACAAGCTAATTTGATTCTTTAGGGTCTAAATTAAAAGTTTGTAATATACTTTAATTAAAAATTCTCATTAGTATTGTAAGAAAACACTTATTTTACCTGGTCAAAAACAGCTCTGTTTTCAGCACGCCGTTTCAGTGCATATGACTTTAAATGATAATGAGCTTTGCTCACCCCGCCTCTCTGTTCTGCGCATACACCGTTTGTAACACAATAACACAATAACCACGCGTTGTTCATTATAAACGTGGGATTATGAATTATATTGAGAACGTTGTACATAGAAAACATGCTGTAATGTACCCTGAGTGTAAACCGACGCATTCATCGTGAAGCGTGCAGCTGGCGATTTGCAAAGATTATATAAATATTAATATAAAGATTAATAAAACGTTACTCACTTTAGTTCTTCTGAAGGTTCAGCAGGAAGACGAATAGGTTCCGATCCTTTATTCAGGTGCAGCTTCTCAGCAAAACCAGCTTTACACTGATCCTCGTTTATAAAGCAGTCCACTGAGAAATGATTCGGCAAACATGAGAGCATTGACGTTGCTCGTGGGGAATATTCCCTTCGACTCAGCCACTGCGTCTTCAGCGGTTCGGATTTAGGAACATTAAAATGACTGTGTTCGTTATTGCACCCAAGAACAGAACACCACAATCGCTTAGACGCCATTCTGCTCATAGACAGTGCTCCAGCATATCAACAATGACCGCGCCGGTCCGCGCAGACTATGATTGACAGGACGAGCGAGGGCGGGTCTGTGTTGAATCACTGCTGTCATTCAACAATCGCGGGAGGGGCGTCCGTTTTATTGACGTCACAAAAACGAACGGCTCAATTTGAGGCAGGGGAAAACATACAAGGAGATTAAAACAAAAACACTGGATGGATTTTTATCATTATATGATGGTTGTGTACAGGCACTGCCAACACACATTTCAGTACAATCAACTTGTAAAAGTGCATGTACCATTATATGACCCCTTTAAAGATATTTACAGGTAAATCAGCTATATAAGAAGCTTTAATAAACTCTCAGCATGGGCCACCGAACCCTTCAGATCCTCAGTTAAATGTGCTGTCCATCAGTATAAGTGCAAGATACAGAGAAGGCTGATTCTGCCCGTCTGAGTTATTTCTGTAGAGCTGGTGTTTGAAACTGCAAATGAATGCAGCACCCCGCACTTACATTGACAGACAGCTGCATCTGGGAAGCTTTGTACTGCATCTGCTGCTGGCTTATGTAATATGTTTAAAATGGGCATCTTAGAGTCATTTTAGAGAACAGCTTAGATAATGGATGCATATTTTGTCAAATTTGCTCTATCGCAGTCACACACACACACACACACACACATGAAGATTTTCAAGCAAAAGCTACACAGACACAGCCTTCCACTGTTATCCCAACAGCATCAATTAACTGGACTGAGGTGTGAATGCCATTTTGGGTGACCACTAATGGGAGTTTTTCTTATTTGCAACATTGTATTAGGGATGATGACCTGATATTGAATAATTAGCCTATATTATGCCAGATAACCAATAAATGCCCAGTAATCAAATTCTACGCTATTTTTTATAAATAAATTAAAAAATAAAATATTATAAACTAAAATCAACTGTTTTAAACGCTACAAGTGAATTTAGGTATCACAACACATGTACAGATTTGAAAAGGGATATTCATTTTGAGATATGCAAAAGATTCTTAGGCCTGGTTTCAGAGACGCCAGGACATAAACGTGTCTTTTATAAACGTGTCTTAGAAAAAAACATTACTGGTGTGCATCTTGAGACAAAACAAAGGCACGGGCATATTTTAAGATATGCCAGTACATGTGGCTTCAGTTAAAACAGCTCAAACATGCTTTTTAGTCTGGGACTAGCTGCAGTCCGTAGCTTTTGTTTTTAGTTAAAAAGTATCCAAAATGCATATTTGAGAAAATACATAACCACCCAGTGTTCAAAACTATCTGCTTGCCTTAGCTCGATTCAAAGCGGTAAGCTTGTAATAATGTTTTTAATTCCAGTAGTACTGGTGGATTTCCGCGGGAGATTCGAGCATGTCTTTGCGTCATTACGTCACATCTGTAGACATAAAGAAGGAGTCTCGGCTAGTATAAGCTATATTGCGTGTGAGGATGTTGGCCGTGGAGATTTATAGCCTTTTCTCGCAGTACTTGATATAATTAAACTTATCAATTTGATGGTGGATCCAGAAAGGTTCAAACGACAATCACCAGTGACTACAGACTAACCCGCTGTAAAATGCTAAAGACTACGTTCGGACTTTGGAGTGGCGACAGAAAAAAAGAGACTGTAACCGGACCCATGCGAAAACAAGGATACATATCGGAAGGACATTACATGTAGTCACGCAATGCTGACGTTGTTAACATTAACAAGTTGAGAACAAAGTCTAATTTGCACGGTTTTGCGTGATAAGCGATTTTTGGATTTAATCAGCGCGATTTACTGCAATGTCAGAACCAGAACAAAATTGGATGTTACTTACTTGTTCAGATTACATTTTCCGGTGAAAATTATTATGTTGGTCATACTTCCAAAAAGAATAATCTGTGATTCTGAAGTATCCACACCGGCGTGGTGACTGACAGCCTCACACTCTCCTCAATTGTGTTCATCCGCGCTGTGCCGTGTCGAACTACAACTCACGTAAAGTTGATAATTCCGCGAATTACTGCAATTGCAGATTTCGAACAGAGGTGGCGACAAAGAGGGACTAACGTTACTTGTCTGTGAAACTGGGGGATTGTGTAACTTTTAAGTGAGTGTTAGATGATGGTAAAGATAATCTAAAAGTAAAAATAATGTAAATCTGCATGTACAATTAAATATCCAACATAATGTTATTCTAAATTACAAAGAAAATCTCTAATATCACTCATTAACCAATGTGATAGTGTATCTTTACTGATTTACAATTTAATATCTTCCCAACATTAAGAAAGGGGATGTCCCACTGTCACCCCGAATATTCAGATTAGTGGTAGATCAATGTAATTGTTTTAATTACCGATTCTTTAAAAGTTTACATTTATAAGTGGATGTAACCTAATATTGGGTGACTGTAAAGTGCATATCAGTGAATGTTTTCATATCAGTCTGAACTAGAAAAATGTTCTTTGAGGTAGACATATTTAAGCCTACGGTCATTATAAGATGGATAATTAGCGGTTTTGAAAATTGCACTCCAGTTGACCCACACCCAGTTAGGCTATACAGAAACGGGAAGAAGTTGTTTACAAATCAATATCAATGTTCAAGAATGAACAATCTGAGCAAACTTGAGTAATTTTCGGAATAAAATAAAATAAAATAAAAGGCTAAATAAAATTGACAACAAACCTAAATAAGCAAAATATTTGTTGAATCCGACAGGTGAAAATGTCACGCCTTCTCTCGTCAGGTAAGTGATGTAATGCTGAGCTCTGCATCCCGCGCGCCGCCGCACACAAGCTCGTTAGAGTAGAGTGGACTTTTTTGTTTTCTTCTCCACCTTTCAAAAAAACAAGCATGCAGAAATTGCTGAACGTACCTTCTTCCACGTTGACATTCTAGGTATTCGTTGAGCTTGCGGCTACATGGTGAGGATGCAGCGAAGTTTTGAGAGTGCATGCTTAGCAGTCGCCGCCCCGCGGGTGCAGATCAGGTGCAGATGCGGCGGTCCCCTGGAGGTGATGTAGCGCTTATCCACGCCGCTGGAGGGCGCAGTTCAGGACGCTGCACGTTCAGGCGCCATCATGATGAGGTCGGAAACACGACAACACAGGGAAAGAACCTGACGATACTTTCTTTACATTATTATGACATATGTGTGCGATTTTACAGCTCATTTTTTATATTCCCTTCATGTTAAATCCTTTATTCATATTAAATGTGTAAAATAGTCAAAAATTAAATGGCTTAAAGACGGTTGACCTGATTTGCGCTTGATCTACAGCCACTGTTTACACGCCGATCAGAAAAGTGTAATGGTGTAAAAGTGTAACAAAATATAATTTTGTTTACGATTGAGGAAAGAAAGGTCTTCGTGATTTTCAGCCGCTGATATGTCTGTCAGAAAAGAAGGTAAGAAGAGAGCATTGAATATGTGTATGACAGTGCCCACGTGCTACAGAACTTTTTATTGTTGACATATCGTTGACACACAAGAACACAACGTGTGTGTGTGTGTGTGTGTGTGTGTGTGTTAGTATTCCAGTCCAAGGTCCTGCATAGATTGTATCCTGCATCCCAAGAGCAGAGTGTACTGCAACCTGTTGCCCAGGAGCAGAGCATACTTGTACCTGTGCCACCTGTGGAAATCCCTCAATACATCCCACCCAAAAAGCCAGGTTGGAGTTTGCTTTATGCTGAAGTCCTTAAACTTTTAAGGTGACCCTTTTATGCTATTTTAAAGGTACCTGATTTTGTTTTGGAGGTCTCCTACAATAGGTTTACATACTTAATAACTTTATACTTTATTGTCAGACAAGTCTGACATTTTTCTTGCATAACTAGGTCTATGTTTACAACAACCAACAAATATTAAACATCGACATACACTTAAACCTCCCACATTATACATTCAATACTACACTTATACAACTACAACACCTTCACAAACTTTGTTTTTAGCATAACAGCAAACTCTTATACCAAAATGAGTATACTGCAATATTGCAGTATACTCATTATCACAGACCTAAAGAACAACAGAAGAATCTGTTTTCTTGCTCCAAATGACCTAAGACAACGAAGAAAGTAAATTATCTGCTTTGTTCTTTTACAGAGAGTATCAATATGATCTTTCCAGAATAACATAATCATCTATCATCACTCCTAAATATTTGTATGTTTTAACCAGTCTGATTTTTTCATTATGAATAAAAACAGGAATTATATGAGTATCAGATGTAGAACCAAATATAATCTCCTCGGTTTTACTCATATTAATGACGAGCATTATTCACACACCAATCTATCAATTTAGTCACACCTTGTTGATGAAGCCCAGGACTGTCCAAGTCATTCAACACAGATATTAAAACAGTGTCATCAGAATACTTTAAAATATACTGATTTAACATGTCAGTTCAACAGTCGTCTGTATATAAGGTGAAAAGTATGGCAGAACTGACGCAACTTTGTGGTACTCCGGCATTTGTTGTGATTGCAGACGACACAGTTTTATTCACTTTGACTCTCTGAACTCTATCAGTGAGAAATGAGATATACCAATGGATCAGATAGGGATTTACATCCAACTGTACAAGTTTTGACACCAATTTGTCAACCTGTATTGTATTGAATGCAGAAGAGAAATCCAGAAACAAGGATCTTACAGTTGTTTTGGATTTATCCAAATGTTTAGAGATGATATGCACTAAAGCAGCAACTGCATCTTCAGTACTACAACCTTTCTTATAGGCAAACTGCCAAGGACCTAGTTTATCTTTACCTATCTGAACTAAATGCTGAAGTAACAATCTCTCTAGACATTTTCCAATCACAGAGGTAAGGGCTATCGGTCTAAAGTCTTTATATTCTCTTGGACATGAAATTTTAGGTAATGGTTTTATGTATGCGGTCTTCCATATCAACAAGCCGGTGGCACCGACACCCCGGTGCCTTTAGGGTTACTGTGCATGACGGGCAATAACGTAACCCCGCTTTGACCTTTGAGAAGATGTGTGCTGTAGAGCTTGCATCAGTGTGGGCTCTGCAAAAGTGTGCATTGAGGGCACATATCAACCACAAAGTATGCGTGAGCAACCTTCTGAAACCTAAAATGAAAAATGAGACACCCTACGGTCTCATGGACTTAATGGACACATGAAATAAGTACACAAGTTTGAAAGTTATATGAAGTGTGTCAAGACAGAATATTTGCCTGATCTGATTAGAAAAATAGTTTGTGTGTGTGTGTGTGTGTGTGTGTGTGTGTGTGTGTGTGTGTGTGTGTGTGTGTGTGTGTGTGTGTGTGTGTGTGTGTGTGTGTGTGTGTGTGTGTGTGTGTGTGTGTGTGTGTGTGTGTGTGTGAGGCGTGATTGAACAATGTAGACATAAAAACATACTCCGTCCTTTTGTTCATACAGGACATTATTCAAACTGCAAAGTGTTTACTTATATTTGTGTACAATCGCAATAAAACACAACATTGTGCTTTTGTCAAACTGTAAACTACAACTGTCACCCAACCAAAATCTCTTACACACACACACACACACACACACACACACACACACACACACACACATAGTTTAAAAGCAAAAAAATCTTTTGGACATTCATCATATTGCATTGGTTTTCATTTCTTGTCCTTTGAACAGAGCCCTAATCTGTTTATTTTTTCAGTTACACATTCTACATTGATTAAAAAAGAAAAATCAAATGTGTTTTTATTTTATACATAAATAAATAATCTATCATTCAGATGAGAATAAAGTTAGTGTTAGTTCAAATTTTAAGGAAAACAAAAATATGATCTGAAATATCGCACATTCATTTAAAATTCATTCAGGTTCAATTACCAAACATACAAATCTCAATGTAATTTAAAGCAAACAATACGTTTAAAATATATGGGTTGTATGCAATTTTTTTATATATAAAAAGATATATATCCAAAAATACAAAGCCTAAACTTTAACAAGGGTTAAACAATCACTGTAACAGACACAATCACACACACACACACACACACACACACGTCAAATCACTTACATTTTAGATGCAATATTGACTTTTTTTCTGTTTCAGCAGCGAAAATAGTTCAACAAAGATCACAGCAGAACCATCGAGCATCTCACAGCAACGCGTTCTCATTACTGAATGATTCAGCATTTTGAACGAATCGGTTGACTCAAAGATTCAACGACCAATCCATAATCTGTCTCATTCATGAATGACTCAGCCGTTCGAACGAATCGTTTGAACGAATGAATCAATGACTCGCTCATTAAGACGGTCGCCTGGCGACACCTAATGACGGTTTAGTGATATGTTTAAAAGTATCATTCTTTCCAACGATTGTTAATTAACTCATATTTGAAACATAAGCTATATATACATGCTTGCCAAATATATGTATAAATATCATTTTGGACACAAGAGGGCAGTATGGCTAAAGAACCCTATGTATAATTTAGGAGCAGAACCCTATGTATAATTTTGTGTTTAAACTAACTATCACTCGAAGAGCCCCTCCCCACACAGACACAGACACACACACACACACACACACAGTTCGCCCGCGCCTCTCTCTCTCGCGCGCACACACACACACACACACACACTCCAGCATTGCAATTTTGAGATCGCAGCTTGTTCATTATGCTGCGTTCACACCAAACTTTTATACTCTTTTGTTGTTGTGGTTTCCATGAAGAATAATAGGCTATTGAACTCACAATTCAAGCAATCGGCCCCAGAAAAGGCGCTAATTTTAAAATGAAACTAAAGGCTGCACGGGCATTCATAACGGTGCGCGTCCACGGCGATGAGCGAGCAGAACTTTAGTTAATTCCTACTTCCATAGGAATTCCCTCGAGCGCTCTGCACGTGGCCATTATCAATGTCCCGTATTTAAAAGCTCTCGGCCCTCAGTCACATACCAAATATATGTATAATGTATATATAAATATAATTTTGGACACAAGAGGGCAGTATGGCCCTATGTATAATTTTGTGTTTAAACTAAACTATCACACGAAGAGCCCCTCCCCACACAGACACAGACACACACACACATTTTGTGTGCATTTTGTGTGCACACACAATGCAGGGTGCATTCTCTCTGTCAGAGGGAGAGGGAGAGAAAATTCTCAGAAACATCCACATTCAAACTAAAATATCTGACTTCCTCTTGGTCTGAGCTAATGACAGTTAATTAGAAAGTTGTCCGGCTTGATCTGAACAATATGCGTACCGAGTTTTATGATTGTAGGTAAAACTATAAAACTAACACCCCCACTTTTGTCAAAAGGTGGCGCTACTGAGTCCCTGCACCATGCCCGTTTCTGAAACTTTGCACGTCTATCTGTCTGTCGAGTTTCATGCAATTTCAAGCAATTTCAGGCATGCTAAGAGTCTCAAAAGCATAAAAAAAGAATATTAAAGTTTGATGCGTTGCCATGGCAACAGTATCTAAGATATCAAGAATCCATTCACAGGTCTACATCTGGCGTGTGTTTACATTATAGTAGTGAAGTTTGAAGCAAATTGGGTAAAAATAAGAGGGTGATTTCAAAGCATTTTGAAAGTGACACACTTCCTGCTGCCAGTTGGTGGCGCTATAACTTTGACTCACAATAGTCACATCCATGTGATCGACCTCTTACAGCGAACACACTGCTGAAGTTTCATCAAGATCAGTCAATGTATGCTGAAGTTATAACACACTTCCTGTTTCCATTATTCGCCATAAATTTGTTTCCTCGCCACGGCCACACCGTTCGAGATATCAAAAATCCGTTCGCAATTTGGGATCCTCAATGTCTTGACTTCATGCACACCGAGTTTGGAGACGAACGGCGGAATTCCCTAGGAGAAGTGTTTCAAATTCCTGAGCATGCGTTTCCAAACAACCCTAAATAGCCGACTTCCTGTTGGGCTGGCGTAAAAAGTAAGAGCATGAAGGATATATGAACCGATGAGATCTATATGTGTACCAAGTTTCAAATTATTACATGAAAGCGTGTTTGATTTATAGACCCAGTTTTCGGACCGCGTTCCAGGGGGCGCTGTCGAGCCCCCCTGCCACGCCCGGGTACCATCTTCAGCCCGGTGCAAAGTTTCAAGAGTTTTCGAGCACGTTAAGGGCCCCAAAAGTGCCCGAAAGATTGATAGAAAAAGAATAATAATAATAATAATAAATAATCCTTAGGAAAACAATAGGGCCTTCGCCTTTTCAAGGCTTGGGCCCTAATTACAATAGATTTTTTTGAAGACGACAATCCAGTCATTGTTTTCATGATGTCCCAAACCTTTTTAGTATTATTAGTTTTAAAGGCTTTCTCCAAATGCCTCTTATGATCTTCTTTTGTTTCTTTTAATTTAATTTTCAACTCTCTTTCTGTTTAAGTGCCCTAATATCCTTATCCTTAAATGCTACTTTCCTCAAATGTATAATTTCTTTAATAGCTTTAGTCACATATGGTTTGTTACTTGGATAAACTTTAATCTCTTTTGTAGGTATGACCAGCTCCACACAGAAGTTAATATAATCATTTAACACTAGTTCTTTCATCAAGTGAGGCTTCCTCAAAAGATTTCCCAATATTTTTAGTCGAAACAGGCTTTCAGTTGTTGTACACTTTCATTCGACCACAATCTAATAATTTTCTTTTCTGGTTTGCTTTTTTAAGTTTGGTGCTGTACACAGGAGTGATATCCACTACATTATGATCAGAGTTTAGAATTGGTGGCATACTCTTCGTCTTCGACACATAAGCATCTTTGACATTCACAAAGCACTTATCAAGAATGTTATTGTTTCTTGTTTGAGTCTTTACGTGCTGTTCAAATCCCGGCAACAAAGTCTCCAATTTGCACTGGTTTAAATTGCCCAGCACGATCACGGGTGCATTTGAGTAGCTGAGCTGTAGTTCGTGAATATAGTCCGCTATCAGGCTGGCTGCCTGAAATGGTTTACAGCTGGGCGGAACATATACCATGAACAGCAAAATACAACCAAATTCTCTAGGCAGATAAAAAGGTCTTAAAGTCATGCCGAGAATTTACACATTTGGATCACATATCTTATATTTTTACTGAATACGCTCGGCACCATTTCTCATTTATATACACACAGACGCCGCCCCCTTTACTTTTACCCGAAACTTTGTCTCTGTCAGCTCATACTAATGTAAATCCAGGGATCTCAAAAAGCGAGTCATGCATCTAAGGACAAAAAAAAAAACTTTAAATTCTCATAACATACATTGCAGTATCACCTCTTTTATCACAGTGCCTGAAATGGTACGATAAATGAATCTGTCTTTCTAAGCCACTCCTTTCCGAAAGCCAACTCTGCTCTGATTGGTCAGGTGGCCCAGTCTGTTGTGATTGGTCTACCACTTAAAGCACATGGCGGAAACAAAACGCCTACTACTATATCTGAATTTAAACTCCGGAGGCTTCATTAGCACTTGTATACAGTAACAATGGCAATGGTGTACCATATCTATCTTGAGTCCTCATCCTTGGAACTACATGCAAAGTGGATTTGCTTTCGCAATTCGCAGCGTAGAAAGCAGTGTCTTCGCGACATGTCGACAACATGAACCAAACTCTTCCAGGCCTCAGCTACAACTGCAGTGTTGTGTTTGAAGGGTTTAAAGGAACACTCCGACTTTTTGGGACTTTAGCCTATTCACCTTATCCCCCAGAGTTAGATAAGTCCATACATACCTTTTTCATCTCCGTGCGTGCTATAAGTCTGTTTGACGCACCCACCGCTAGCCTAGCTTAGCACAAAGACTGGATCTAAATGGTTGCAGCTAGCATACTAATCCAAATAAGTGACAAAATAACGCAAACATTTTCCTATTTACATGTTGTGATTTGTATAGTCACAGAGTGTACAAAAAACAAAGTCACATGACACAGACATATTTTAACCGTATAAATACTGGGAACTATATTCTCTGAAGGCGAAGCACTGCTACTTGGGCGGAGTGATAACCGCAGCACATGAGACGCGCTCTCTGCTCCTCACCACGGCGCGTCTCAGGTGCTGCGGTTATCACTCCGCCCAAGTAGCAGTGCTTCGCCTTCAGAGAATATAGTTCCCAGTATTTATACGGTTAAAATATGTCTGTGTCTCATGTGACTTTGTTTTTTGTACACTCTGTGACTATACAAATCACAACATGTAAATAGGAAAATGTTTGCGTTATTTTGTCACTTATTTGGATTAGTATGCTAGCTGCAACCATTTACATCCAGTCTTTGTGCTAAGCTAGGCTAGCGGTGGGTGCGTCAAACAGACTTATAGCACGCACGGAGATGAAAAAGGTATGTATGGACTTATCTAACTCTGGGGGATAAGGTGAATAGGCTAAAGTCCCAAAAAGTCGGAGTGTTCCTTTAAGTAGACATTGTTGACGGACAGCAAATTAAGTCCATAGGCAGTTTATGCAAATTTGTTACAAACCTACATTGGTTTGTGCAGGAAATAAGACTGGAATTACTGACGACTTGTTTCAGGCAGTTCAGAATCGGTTCTTTCTTTTGGGAGACAATAACTCCATTTCTTGTGCACTTTAGTCTTTGAAAATTTGCAGACATTTTACATTTACAAATAGCTATATATTATATAAAACACTACATGGAAGGTAATATCCGAAAAAGCATAATAGGAGCACTAACAGGGGACTTGACTGCTTGTTCGCCCTTTCTTTCTCTCCCTTTCTTAGGTGATGAGAAAAGTACAGCTGTACCAGGCAAAAAGCTCTACACTGTACTTTCTCCTCCTCAAGGCTACCTGATCACTAGCGGGGATGATCCTGTCACACTGTCCAATCCAGATTCCATTGACTCTGAGAACAGCCCAGTCGGTGAGTTGGTGACAACCGTGTTCAATCTATTAATGATACACCTCTTAGGTTAAGACCACCATCGCTTTTCCCTTTTATTTGATTTCTCTTTCAGTCACACATTCCAGTATGAAATGGATACCACTAGTTGCTGTGAAGTGATCCTAGTAATCCCTGTAAATAATTATCAGTCACTGCAGATTATATTAGCCAGTCTGCAGCTGTATCTTGATATCCTGATAGATATTTTACTTTTAAATTATTTAGACTAATCAATTGGGTTTTTTTAATATTGGGTGATTTTTCTGTTTATTTTAATTTGCAACTCCTGTTGTGGATCCAAATGATCAAATCGTTTGATTCAGTGAAGCATATTAGCCACAGCACCCATGATAAAAAAACCAACTCAGAAATAACATCCTTATTCATCAGCAAAACAGTTCGGATTTATCATCTACACAAACACAAAATTAGTCAATTCTATGCTTAATTCGCACAAATATTACGGAACCAAAAGGAATCGGACCGTTTGAGATATTTAATTTGCCCTGATCATTTGTGATATTTCATTGTGGCCCAATTGATGCATGCTTTTTCCTGCTTCCTGATGTATTTATACAGGTAGGACAAGCAAAATCAAGGGTTTAACAAAATTTGGGTCTGTTGTAACTTCCTTTTTGGGTACTTGTACTATATGACATTACATTTTAATAAATACAAATATTTAATGACAAAACCAAGCACCTCCTCTATACGAGGTTACATTGTTGCATCTTTTATTACACATTACTCATCCCACCATCATGAGTCTTTTAGTTCATGTGTCGTATCTGTAGTTTGGCTTAGTATGCATGTTATACTTCTTTCCTCTTTCACTAAAAAGCTCTGTAGATTTCTTCCTCCTACTGTCTTTTTGTTGCTATTGATCTGAATAGACCTCAATAGACCTGCAGAGCAGCAATAACTTAATTCGCAAGCTCTCTCTCACTCACACACACACACACATATATTTACTCATACTGTCCATGTTATTGAGGCCTTTCCTCATCCCTCCTTTATTGCAAACCGGTCTCATTGTATGAGCTGTATGCTGATGAGCTGAATCTTTGCTTCCTGCGGTGTGTCACTCAGATGTGCGGTCAGTTTCTCTGCTCTGAATACAGATGAAAAAAATCAATAGCTCAGCACAACTCAGTGTGTTTGTATAGTCCTAAGTAGCTCGAAAAGCCTTGCAGAAAACCCCTGAAAGGGCAAAGGGGTGTGTGCGCGTGCGTGTGTGTGTGTGTGTGTGTGTGTGGCTGTGGTGCACTATCCACTCTGGTAATTGCCTTTTATACAGCATGTGTACATTTCTTGTAGGATGCTTTTTATTTGAAAGAGTCTACCAAGAGCATAAATGTAATGAGGCTATAACTGATGTCATTCAGTTGTGATAGTGTATTTATTTAAATCCATTCATGACAAATCAGTCACATTAAACCTCTTTTTCCAGATAATGGAGCCTGATGCTTGTCGGATTTAAAACCCCTTTGTAATAATTCTAATACTGTGAGAAAGTCCATAATCCTCCTCACAATGAGCCATTTTTGGATCTTTCAGACGCAGATGACCATGATTTACATAAGAAGAGGAAAAGGAGGAGAAAGAAAAAAGTGTCTCCCATTATTTCAGCCAAGGTATCCACCCCTCCAGCAGAGGGCGCTGTACAGGGCCAGACAGATGCTGTACATCCCAGCGATGAAGGGGACACTGGAAGCTCATTGAGCATAGAGCGGCTCAGCAAAAACAGAAAGAGGAAGATGAAGAAAAAACGGCACAAAGAGAAACTCATCGCTCTTGGACTGGTGCCTCATGTGAGAGCTGTTGAGTTCACATACGCACAGAGTGGACATGGAAATTCAGAGGAGGTGCTCAACTTCCTTCGTACCACACAGGAGATCTACCTGTCTGATCGCAAGTCCTCTGGTATAGCATTTTACTATAGCATCACTTTTTTGTGACTGTTTTCAACATTGATAATATGAATAAATGTTTCTTGAGCAGCAAATCAGCATATTAGAATGATTTAGAATGAAGGATTATGTGACACTGAAGACTGAAAATTGCTGAAAATTCAGCTTTGCCATCACAGAAATAAATTCCATTTTAAAATATATTCAAGTAGAAAACATGATTTTATATTAAAAATAAAGTAAAAATATTTCACAATATTACTGTTTTTGCTGTATTTTGGCTCAAATAAATGAAGCCTTGGTGAGCAGAAGACACTTCTTTTAAAAGCATAAAAAATCTTACTGATCCAAAACTTTTGATACAGTGTATATGTGTGTGTATAAAAGTATTGAGATACATAATGTATTGGTACTCTTCTTTTCAGGCTCCTGTGTAGAAAGTGGACATGCTCTCTCCCTCACTGCAGCTGAGACTCTGTTCTCTCGTCTGTCTGGTAGGACGCTGCCTCCTGCTGAGATCTCCAGGCTGTGTGGACTCAGGGCTCTATTGGTGAATAATGAAGACCAGTTAAAATCACAGCTACAAGAATTCAGGGACACAAGCACATTGCCTGCAGGTGAATGAGGGCGCTTGGACCTCCCATGTCTGAACATCATGCATGTGTGTTTTTGTTTTATAGTAATATTGCAAACAATAGAATATTGATTTCACTGCCAAAAGACTAAAAATGCCCACAAATATACAAGCTACTATCATACAAAAGGGGGGAGGGGGTTTACAAGCTTTCGTGAGGCACACTCGCAATGTCTCTCACTCTCTCTCTCTCTGCAGTGCGCGCTATGTATGTTATGCGCGCAGTATGTTCTGTCTCGCACGCGCGCTCTAGATTCCGGGAGATTTGAACTAATTGACTTTATGCACAGCTGCACTACTTCCTGAACTTAAGCCAGCTCCTTTATTTCCTGTCTTACATTATTGGACACATTGATTAATTCAGGTGTGCCTGACCAGCCCGTTCTCATCCCAAGGCGTCATACATGTGACGCTTTGGACATTTCGTCGAAATCTTACGCACATGGCATCCTTTAGCATCAATATGAGACGCAGAACCCAAGGCGTCATACAGGTGACGCTCGTCTAAATCCGACGCACATGGCATCGTTTAGCGTCAATATGAGACGCAGATCCCAAGGCGTCATAACCGTAACCCCACCCCAGACCTAAACCTACCCATAACAGTGCGTGTTATATTGACGCTAAAGGATGCCATGTGCGTAAGATTTCGACGAAATGTCATATGGCATCACCTATATGACGCCAAAGGATGAGAATGCGTTGGCCTGACCTCAGTAGTCATAGCAACAATAATCAGACACACCTGGATTAATCAGTGTGTCCAATAATGTAAGACAGGAAATAAAGGAGCTGGCTTAAGTTCAGGAAGTATTGCAGCTGTGCATAAAGTCAATTCGCGGGGAGACGCTATCAATATGCGGGAGACTCCCGGAACTTCCGGGAGACTTGGGATGTCTGCACTTATAAAACATTAACTGACAAGGAAACGAGGTATAAAGACACAAGACAATGCAAACACATAGCCCAAAACAACCGGCCATGTGCTTGCACACAAAACAAGAGACAAGTACATGACAGCAACAGTCAGTAAGTTCGATTCTCAACATACCCAAAGTATCGATCAAGAAAAAGCTGCAGCATACAAAGTGCTTTCTAGGAAATGTTTGGCTTTATATGCATAAAAAAACAATAACAATTTTGTGTGTTTACATTGAATGTGCCCGTAGTGGGGCTTTTAGCATTACTTTTCACGTATGTGTGTTTCTGAAGTCAGATTAGACCTTAATAAGATGATCAGTGTTTTACTAAGGAGCTACAAGCACCCAGCGGATTCACGACATTCCGCGCAGGTGTCCATGGTGACTCCTAAACATAGCCTCCATCTCCACAACCACCACAGGAGACAACATTTATCCACTTTTTCCCCCATACACCATTATTTTCACCATTAATTGCAGTAGGCCATTAATGTTACTCTGCAGATATGTGTTTTCCCTCAGATGTCCTAATAACAAAAAATTGTATGGGAATCTAGGTCCAATAGTGCATTTAAATAAAGCGGTACTTTTTATTTTTATTTAGCCCTTATTTGACCAGGTTGGTCCTGTTGTGATTTTAATCTCTGGCCAAAATATCAGCCAAATCTAGACAGTAGTAAACATAAATTCATGATACCTAAGCAAACAACATAAGAGCACATAATTATGGGCAAATGTTTTATTTAGATGATCTTTCTCGTTTTACAGATGAGGTTTCAGTGGTATGTGCTCTTATTGAGTATTGGCTGACAGAGATTCTGCCCATACAGAGACAGCAGAAGACATGACGTCCCCAGATTCAGAGCCCAAGAGGATAGCGACTGTGAATAACCAGCAGGTCTCTGATTGTAATATCTCGTCAGTCATGCTGTTTTATAGTCAAGGAATTTTTAAAGACCCAGCATGATATATTCTAGTTTATCTTGCCTTCACAATAATAATTACTTGTGAAAAAGATTTTTTACACATTTTCTGCTGCTAATTTTTTTATCGTAGGTCACCAATACACTCTCACAGCTGTTCCAGAAAGTATGTTTCTGCTATCCAAACACTAGAGTATTATTATTGACCGTGATGCTGGATCACCGGTCTTCCACAGCTCATTATGCGTGGTTTAGCGTCTTAGCAGCTAATTACCTTAACATCAGAACGTCAGCAGCCCCTCACTGATCTCAGAGACTGTTTAGATCATGACATTTAAGCTTTTACTCGCTAGACTGCTCATTTCACCAAAACAAAGCCTCATTTACGTTTTTGTTTTTTTCTTTTGATATTTAATGAGCTACTTTGGGGCATCGATGTGAGAAGCCACTGTGACTATCAGTGCGACTAGAAAAATGTCTTAGTGCAGCTATAAAGATATTAAAGTTTTATTTCAATTCACGAGATAAACAAATGTGTCCTTGTTTCCATTGATTGTTTGATATACCTACCTGCATTAAGAGCAGTGCACGACATACAAAGATCCATTTAAACGGATACAATGGCTTATCCATGACGTCAAGGAAGAATGACTTTAGCTAAACAAGCATCTCTAGACAGCCATGTGTGTGTTTGTGCTAATCTGAGATACTCAAGGCAACCCACAGCATGGGCTTTGATGCCATTATAGGATCACATGGATCTGGGTTGGCTCAGACAGAGAATACGTTTTTTTATTGCTTCCCATTAGGTTACAATGTTTAGAAATAATAACCCTTCTGTTTCTCTGAGAAATGTTTTCTTACGCCAGCTGGAATATGGTGCGGACGACACAGCAGGTGTGATGGTGGAATTATAGCAGCTGAAAAGAACAAAATATCATCTTGTTTTAGCACTAAGCGCAGCATATCATCACACTAAATGCTCACTGCAGCTTTAATATCGCAGTTTATTGATTTATGGTTTATAGATCATATCCACTCAAAAGATGAGGCAATCCTGCAAAGAGGTGGAGCAAATATCTGCCAGTCATAAATGCTCAGAAAAGCTATTTAATTTAAACATACTAAATGATCTGCCTCTGACTGAGGTCTGTTTGTTTAAGAGGTCCTCATAAAGAACCAGATTTGTCGGTCCCCAGTGAGGCCCTCAACTCACAGACTGATATAACATTGTGTGGCTAAAGGGTCTAGGACTGTGTTAGGAAAGACAATATTCTGCTGTCCCCTGTTTATTATGTTCTCTACCCTGAGGCAAAACTCAGACAGGTTCATTTTGCGGTGTAGCAACAAACAGATACTTAACTAGGTGAATAAGCAAGACAAAATGGTGGCAGAAACTGCTACACAATACTGTTTCTGTTTGTAGAATCTACACCACCATTCAAAAGTTTGGGGTCAGTAAGAGTTTTTTTTTAAGAATTCTTAACTTTTATTAACCATGCATTAAATGTATCAAAAGTAACTGTAAAACTTTTACATTGTTACAAAAGATTTATATTTTAAATAAATGCTGTTAAATGTTTTTTTTTACTTTCTATTCATCAAATAATCCAAAAAAAATAAGTTTCCATAGAAATATTAACAACAAAATATTATTTTTAATATAATAACAATAAAAATGTTTCTTTAACGGCAAATCAACATATTAGAATGATTTCTGAAAGATCATGCGACCCTGAAGACTGTAATGATGCAGAAAATTCAGCTTTGCCATCACAAGAATGAAATACATTTTAAAATATATTCAAAAAGAAAACCGTTATTTTACATTGAATAATATTTCACATAATTAATGTTCTTACTGGATTTTTGATCAAATAAATTAAAAAAAAATACTTTTGTGACTTTTTTTTTAAAGATTTTTTTCAAAAACCAAATCTGACTGACTACAACGGTGACTACAAAAGTAGTTTGTACCTATAGGACTATTGTCTGTACTGTTGTAATACATTGGTATTCTTGGTGTATATACACTGTATGGTATCATACAGTACCATGGTAATATCATCTGATATTGATGATATATCTGTTGTTTTTTGTTTAAAATTTTGTTTGTTTTATGTCATGTTTTTATATTATTTTGTGGGATTCTTTTTTCTTCACTTTTTTTTTTTTTCATTTTGTTTTTGTTCTGATAACTGGGTCGCCTCTGACCTGTGTCAGTAGACTTTATAGCCCTTTCCGGCTTTACACGTGCCAAGCTATACAAGGATGTCGTCCTTCACAACAACTTAACCTCATATCCTATACTGTCGCAGCTGTCGTCATCGCTAGCATGTCAAGTGTGTGCTAGCCTCTTTTGTTAATCTCATTGAGAGATAGACAGACAGATGGGGACTCTATATAAGCTATGATCACAGGAAGACGTGATAGACGTGCACTCCTACCTGAGTGAGCTCTATCCTCTGTGAAGACTCTCTGTCAGAAAGGAAAGAAACAAGGAACCAGAGGAAGAGGTAGTCCTGCTCACAAACAGCTCCGAGGCCTAGTGACAAACTTGACATGTTTTTTGGTCTCCCACGTACTACTTCAGGATACATTCGCTACTTGCAGGTAAGTAAAAGAATCTGTCCAGATGTGCATGTTATGGATAAAAAACTGAATAGCTAAACAGTCTAAATTAATCATCTGTAGATGTTTATAGTTTTGTATATATATATAATATATATATATTTGTATTTCCACCTGACCTGGGGCAGAACTCCAGTGCTAAACATAAAGCTGATTGGACGTTGATGTAATGGGTGAATAATTGTTTTCTATAATTCAAGAATTTTTATAACATTCCACATGGTGTGATTTCAATCACTATAATCTCAAATTAAGCCTTAAATCTGCAATTATTACATTAGAGAACTGTTTGATCTAATTATAATATTTTACGTGTTAATAATGATTATGATTTGTATTATGATTCAAACATTTAATGTTTCACAGCCAAAAGAAAAGAGTCATCATTCAGTCATGCAGGTTGAGGTGTTTCTAATTAAATGTGACCTGAAATGTAATGTTTGTCAGTTCATCACACAATATAAACGTGTTTACACTCTCTTTCAGACGTCAGCAGTGCAGACTGTGATCTACAGGGCACACAATCTTGTAGTGCCGAGGTTGGCTGTTGTTCTGGGTGCTTTGGGGTTTGCAATGTCCGGATACAGCTCTCGCCAACTCACTATTCACCACCGACCCTCCACTAGCATCCTTCATTGGCTGTCCAAACCCGCCATTAATGTTGAGAGTCCAGGATCCCCATCAGCCCGAGCCCGTAAGGCTCAAGCCAATGCTGCCATGGCATCCATCAAAAAAGATGAAGAGGATCAACCAATCAAAAACACAGGTGGCATCGAGCAGCCTGTGAAGACATCAACTGCCGTATAAAGAAAAAACGTTAGCCATACAAGGTCTTACTGTGTAAGATGGAGCATTAGTCAATAATTTAGTCAGTAGGGGAATGTGCCTTTGTACAAGAAAGCCGGTTTGCCCTGATTAGTTTGTGTTTATTTATGAGGTCGGCCACAGTTGCACAAATGATTCAGCAGATCTGTATTAATGACCAAGTGTTGGTCATATATTGAATTGACATGTTTGTGAAAATTACTTGAATTTTTTTTTAAATCTGTAAAAATACACAAATACGCTGTCACTGGTAGAGCGACATTGTGAATTCAACTCAATTTTAATCATAGTCTGAACCAAGCCCAGATACTAGGCATAATTTACACATGTCTGTCAGTGACATCCTGATGACTGGTCTTAGAAATGTATTTACAGTAACAATATCACCCACTTTGGGATGTTTCCTAAGCTAAATCGTTTCCTGAAGATTAATCCACTGAGTTTATTTACTAGGGCTTGTTAATGAGATGTGGTAGATTGTGAATGAGCGAGAAGCTGATTAACCTGTTATACGTCTTACAGAGAGAATATGGCATTAAAAACAGTCCTGTATTGCACACAGAATTAAACTACATGCAGACAACTGGGAGGATTGTTCTGATATGTTTTGTATTTATAATGTCTTTAAATGCTTATTTTAGTTTTTATATGGCTGCAGTCCTGATAACTGTCTATCTTATAAACAAGAAATGCAAACTTGTGTAAATTTAGCTGTGTACGCATTTACATTTTATGCAAATAAAGAACTAACTTAATTTTTAAAAAGCCTTTTTATTTAAAAGTCATTGACTTTTATGGTCTATAGTTTTTTTTATATTGTGATAAAAAAAAAACATTAATAAATCACTTCAGCTTATTGCCTTGCAGTCATTACAGTATTACTAGCCTACATTAGATCAGATAAGTTAAACAACAATCTTAACCTTCTGTTGCTCAGTGCTCAAGTCTTTAAATTAGGATCAGGTCAGAGAGGTTATGGTGAACTGACAGACTGCCTGTAGTATTCGTTAATCTATATAAATCACACCTCAGAGTAGGCTAACTTTAAGCATAAACCCATAATAACGAGAATGTTAATGAGGGAATGTAGGCCTACTCGCACGTGACTCATGGTGGAAAGTAATAACTCCGTCACTTGAAGGGTGTTTACACAGGAGTTGTTTATTTGTGAGTTGTCGCTCCTCCTTCAAAAGCTGAGGACAGTAAGATCATAATGCTTTAGATCTAGTTCACGCTGTTTTCAGTAGTAGTACTGCTCATTCCTCATGAGGGGGCAAAAGGACCGTTTTTATCCGTGCTTCAAAGTTCATACCCACATCCTGCTGTCTCTGCTCATGATCCGCTCCCGTCCGTGTCCGTGAAGAGGTGCGACTCCACTAGCGACAGCATGTAAAACTTCTCCGTCAGTCCCGGTAAACACAAGACCTTCAATAAGGTGTGTAACATAAACGATTCATTATTATGGTTTTCTCTATCGTTTAGGTGTTTTTATATTTTATTAATTCATATAAGTAGCCTATGATTTGCGGTCCTTTTCTCCAGATGGTGATGCTCGCTGTCCGTGTAATCTTATGTTATTTTCTTGTTTTATTATCTTAGTTTAAAGATGTTATTGATAGACTTTATTCTCTTGGTTTAAAGTTGCTTGTTCGTTAAACTTGAAGTAGGAGAGGCCGGAGATTGTTGTAGCCTGCCTATACACTAAGCACCGTTTAACCCACAGATATTTATCAAAAAGGTAAACCGATGATTTATTAATGTTTTTTTTTTTTTTGTTATAAAATACAACAATATTAATTACTACAAAATACTAGATATTAAAAACAATGTACGTTAATTTTTGTTACTAGGCTATATATCGTCGTATAATTTATGTAGGCTATAGCCAAAGTTCTTTTGTGAACAAATGGTCGCAAATATATTTCCATGTTTTGGTTGTCATGCTAAGTTCAGAATCCTACATTGTTCACCTTGGATTGAATGGCTATAAAAAGTCATTATGCAAACAATACAATTTAGTATACCTGTTGAAGATTGTTAGATGCTGTTCTTTAGAGACCAACCAAAATGTGCCATTTATTAGTAGCCTATATCCTGATATTATGACGACCGAATTTACTCGCTTAATATATGCTTTTTTTTTTTAAATTACATAGAAACCAAATGTCTTACAACAATCCATGGTGTTCCCTAATTATTTGCTCTACCTCGGTGTAATTTAGCAAGTGCTGTCAATAGGCTTTTGCATTTTCATGCAAACTTTACCACAAACCTCATTCAAATTGCTCTACCAGTTGTTGGAGAGCTTTCTGAATATCTCAGAGACCTGGAAGAGGAGTATGAGTGGAGATACTAATATACAATCTTGTAATATCTTTTGAGTTATTGTTATGAATGTGCCGGCCCCGGCACCACTGTTATTTGGATATTGAATAAAGAGTGCATGGGACATAGAACACGTGTGTGAGAATGGGTGATAAAGAAAAGGGTTCACGGGTCCTTGAAATGCTTGAAAGTTTGTGAATCTGAATTTTTTTTTTCAAGGCCCTGTAAAGTTTTTGAAAATAAACATGCCTAGCTACAGGTCCTTGAAAGTGCTTGAATTTATTTTGTGCAAGAAATTTTCTGGAAATAATTCCATATTATTCCCTCCGGTCCGCTAATGTGTTATTTTGCCAACACTTCATATAGCCTATGCATTCTAGCTTGCTTGATTTACGTTAGTTTCGCGAATTTATGCATTACGTGAAGTGTTTCCAGCGTGAGGTAGTAGTCTACTTTGTTTTGCACGTTGCCATGACGTTCACGCGCGCAAAACTAACAATGTATCCTACAAGTTAACACGATGTAACATTGCTCTCACTTAAAAGTGTCCCCACATTAAGTCCTTGAATTTGAGGGTATTGGACCTGGAAAGACCTTGAAAGGTCCTTGAATTTGAAGTTAACCAAGGTGTGGGAACCCTGGGTAACACTTTATTTCGATGGTCTACTTTAGACATTCTATTAACTATTTAAGAAACTTTCCAACTAACATTACATGACAACTGCCAGTCAATTAGTAGACTGTCTGCTTAATAATATTTAACACTTTATTTTGATGCTCCCCCAACAGACATTCTATGACTATATAAGTAACTTTGTTTTGTAACTACATCAGGGTTACCAAGGTGTTTTCCCGCGGAATTGGACTACTTTTAAACAAGTTTATTTTTCCCCCGTGGGTTAAAGGTTTATTTGACTGAAATGCTTGTATTGAGAATGAGATATTTTAGCCATTTTACATTCTAACAACTGTGCTGATTTGGTCTTCTTTATGAAAACAGACATTGTTTATGTTTACATATAGTTTTAGGTGTGGGCATATTTTGAGTTTTGATATTTGGAATAGGGTCAGTTGGCTAATTTAAGGCTACTTTTGATTGGCCATTGGACTATTTTTGTTACGCAGACCTGGGCAACCCTTAACATACTAACCCGAATATCTAACCCTAACCTAACAGTCTACTACAGTCAACTAATACTTAGTTAGTTAGTTGACATGTAGTTGCAAAGTTACGTAAGTAGAATGTCTAAAGTGGACCATTGAAATAAAGTGTAACCAAGAAAAGAATTATGTTTATAATTAATTTTTTGACTCATTCAATAGACTGAAAAGGCTGTTGGTAACATGGGGAATAACTCTGGAAAAGAACGACACGGATCTTCAGGTAACTAGATTTTGACAACAAACATACACACACACATATTTGAATTTCCTGGTGTTTTATTGAGATCTGAGGCAATAACCCTCAAGGGGCAGGGACCAACAGAGGCATTTTTCACAAGAGATAAAATAACAGCATGCAGAGACAGAGAGATATAGAAACCAAAAATAAAGGAATACAGGAAAGAGTGCTGTGTAAAGTGTAGTTTCTAGGCATGTGACTGTCAAATATTGTGAAAGAAAGAAATGCAGGACAGTTATTAAATGTATTAGAGAGAGAGAGAGAGAGAGAGAGAGAGAGAGAGAGAGAGAGAGAGAGAGAGAGAGAGAGAGAGAGTCATTATTGGTATACTGTATTGTACATTCTTCCCTGTTATTGGTGGTGTCCAGAGCCCTCAGACTTACTGAATCAGCAAACCTTTCCCGCCCAGGGAAACGACAGAGGCTTTTTAATGAAGAACACCTACTCACACACATTCAATCTAATCTGCTCCTGTTGGTTTGTATTCAGAAAAAGCAAATAGTGAAACCTGCCTATTTTAGAAAACTAAACATTTTCCTAAATGATTAGTTCACATAAAAATGAAAATCATTTACTCATACTCAAGACATTTCAAAATGATTCACTTTTGTACATGGAGCATTTTGAATAGTGCGCTGGTTCCTCTAATACGGTAATAATGTACCAAAGAGAATGTAAAAGCACCATTAAAGTGTTATAAACCTAGTCAATATGACTTGTGCACTACGTCCCAAGTATTCTGAAGCTTTTTGTGAAGAACTGTCAACAATTTAAGTTGATATTTGCCAACATTTTCAAATTAAGTTTGAAAATAAATTTATTTCTTTTTTATTGCAACAACAAGAATTATAAACAACCTTGTTTGTTGATGGGTTTTGCAGAGCTTAAGGGAATAGCAATAAAAAATAATAAGGACAATCATATTGTAGTACAAATACAAAATGTAAAGTCATTCCACAGACTTACAATATAATGTGAAAACAAACAAAAAAATATTATGTCCTGTATACAGAATTATTGTTGACTGAGAAGGAAAAGAAAAAAAACATGCTTAAAAGATGCACTTAAAAGGGGCAGAACGATAATGGATATTTTTCTTATATAAAAGATTTACAAAGGATTATTATTATTATGTATTTATTTTTATTTTATTTATTATTTAAAATACATTTATTTAAAAATAAAATCTTGAATCTTTCTTTTAATGATCTTAAGATATATTTAGCTAGAAAACAAGAAAAATAATGTGAAAAATACAGTGATAGTAGTGTCATATATCCAAATGGAGAGACAAAAAAATCTGTACTTGGTAGTCAAATCTGTACTGTATATGGTAGTCACATAATTCTTGTCCCCTGAAATCATGAATATTAACCACATTCTGAACATCCCATGAATAACGGAAATAAAGTTTAATTTCTGTGACAGACTAATGTATGCACACAAGTTATTATGTAAGGTAATGTTTTATTAATGTATTCTGAGAGCTCCTCCTCTGTCTCTCTGCAGGCACTGCTGTGGACATGTATGAAACACCTCCCGCCTCGCCATACAGTCTTGTTTCTACTTGGTCACCTACGTCTCAGCTGGTGTCCATTTCCAACTGCACAAGCACAGCCACCCCAGAAGCGGCTCAAGATGCTCTCAGTCCGCCACTCATCTCCACCAATCAGAATGATTCACTTTTGGACTGCAGGACAGGGCCTGCGAAAGAAGCTAAAGAATGTGAGATGACAGAAGTCCCTAGTCTGGTATCTCATTCGTCGTGTGTGTGTGTGCATGGAGACACAGAAGTGAACGCAAAACTCCTCCAGGAGTGTTTGAACACACTGCAGCTCAACAACACTGAAGAATCTACACATATTCTGAATGGTGAGTCAGACAGTCATGTTATGTCCACTGATCCATTCATAAATTAGAGCATGCACATAATTAAATGAACTGCAAACATTTTTAGGAAGTGGTCCGCACACAGTATTAGGAAAGTTACTCTAAAAAAGCAATTGTATTACTATCTACTAATTACATCTTCAACAGTGTGATTAGATTACTGTACTAATTACTCTTTCTAAAAAGTATTGCATTACTTATTACTAATTTCTTTCTAAATCCCATATCAACCTCGACCAGGTAAACAATACAAGGATAGATATGAGGTCATGCATTGCAGTGATTTTACCACTGCTGTAAACCTACACTCTTTCTTAAGTGCGTTTCTGCTTTATTATGTTCTTAGCAAATACCTGTATTATTTATAATTTGATAAATATTTAGAATCACATTTTTGTATGTTTTTCAGATCTGTTACAATGTTTTCTGGTGGAGAGGGAGAAGATGAAGGAGGAATTGAGAAGTTGTAAGGAAAAGATTCAGGTGAATCACACTTGCTTCTTTTTGTACCATCCATGTACTCTCAGTTTTTGCTTGACACTTTGGTTTCTAAAATTCCCTCTTTTGAAGACAGGAAAATGCAACAGGAAGTAACATTGTTCCCAGAGGGGCAGGCCAGGGAGGGTTTGATAACAGCCTGTCAGCATCAGCAAAGGCTTATGGGACATGCAATCCTACAAACGACTCCCTTCCTGTCTTAGTTGAGGAATGGACATTGTTTTTGTGAGTGGTTTGTGTTACGGTTCTGCTAACATGGTCCTAATCTGGTAGTCTCAAGGAATCAGATAAAATCAAATCTATTTTTGACAGGAAGGAGGAGAGGAAGGCAGGAAGGGGCAGAGAAGAAAAAATGAAGAAGGAGAGGGTGAAATTGTGCATTTCTCTTAGACTTGCATTGATTTCTGAATAGATTGATTTAGCATTAATATGAAACAAAGAGAATGTTTATTAGTTAGTTATAGCAACATTTGAAAAACAGAATGGTGCTCTGGTCACAAGCAGCTATACAGGGTGTCAGGCCTGAAGAAGTAGGAGTGTTTGAGACACAGATGGAAACAGGGAGTGAACAGGACATAATGAGGGGGATGTGGGGAATTCTGTTCAGCTCCTGCAAGAACAAAACTTTTTTGTTTGGCCCCTGTGACAGTAGAAGTCAGCATGTAACGACTCACTGACCAAACAACAGAGTGAGTGTGTTCCTCCCCAGCCGTCTGTGAGTGCACATATCTTTAAAATGCAACTCAACTACTAAATGCACTTACATGCACTTCAGTTGTGAGTAACTGATCTTTAACTACAATATTTTTTTTAATGGAATAATGCAGTGTTTAATACACATTATTTATCAGTGTTCAACATAATATTTTTAATTAATGTGCCATGATCATAATCTTTAATTAACTTTCCCTCTCCCTTGGAAAGACATCTCTTCTCTGATGACATTCACCGGCATGAGGGCGGGACAATAATCCATCCCTTCCAGAAACCTGTCACTCACATAAAATCACAGCAATTATCCAACCAACGATCCAAAAAATTCCATTTAAAAAAAAATAAAAATAAAATCTTGTTCTAGAAGCCTCCGATATACGTCACAATAAGGAAAGTCAGTGGAAAGTCAGTGGACCTTGATAATGCAACTATAGTTTGGCTTTCGCTGCATCTGAAATCGCGTATGGTCTGAGCGGGTACTACATTTGAATTTGAACTTACTTCCCTACCGTTAAAAAAGGTACGTTCTATATAGTATGAATGTGTGTAGAATGAATGTAATCCGGACTACATCCGCCATGTTGTCATTATCATGTGACCTACCAGCGTCAGTTGCGTTCCTTCAGTTCCTTCATCTCCATTCATAAATCCTCTCCCGTGGCCTCATGGGATTGTAAAGTGTTCATTGAATGCACACTTCAGACTCTCGTAGGTCATCCAGGGACTTTTCGCCTATTGTTTTTCGAATACTATGTATTCTGACATACTACTCTGCTGGCGTACTGTTTTCCGCATACTATATAGTAGGGAAGTATTCGATTTCGAGTAGTCTTTCCATCATGCAATGTGTATTAAATCTTTCAAATATTTGGTTACACATTGTAATGCGTAATGTAATGTTCGTCATGTATACTTGAAACATGAAAACTGTATCTCAACTACGTAAAAAAAGCTGTCCGACATAACTGCACATGTACATTTACTCAATGACTCTCTCACACATTACCACACAACTTTCATATTCACTCATAAGATCTATAAGTCACTCTTTGTAATATTCCCAGTTTCATTTTGACCCGAACAAGCTCTCTCTTGCCCTACTGGACATTGCAAAAATGTTAAATTTGGTGTTCTAACAATGACTGTACTCAGGGAGCACAAAATCTGTGTGTGTGTGTGTAAGAGTGAAACAATAACTATGGATGGAGCAACCCACCACCACTCATCACACACACACACGTTATGAACATAAGAAGCTGGCGGATCAGTTCCAGATGGACTGCTCTGAATGCAGGAGTCACACACTGGATTTGGGTTTGGCTGGAAAAAGCTTTACACAGTGTATTAGGCCATTGTGTTAGGCGCACTTGTCTGTGGGCACTTTTCTGTGCGTGTATTACTGAGTGTAGTTATTATATAGTGTGCAAGGGGTTGTCAAGTAGGGTGATAGAGTCACACTCTACCCACCCCCACACACACTGTGCAAAGCCCCCAAAAAGAGCAACAACTTCTTTTTATCTGAGATGGGTGTGATACTTCCTTAGAAATCCCACTGAGTCAATGAGCTGATGTCTAAAACATCACCACTGTCCATAGAGAGAGAGGTGGGGTCATTTTCTGTTGTGCCGGGATGCCTGGAAAGCGTGAGCAGAGAGAGAAAGACCGAATTTACTTTAACAAGGTTGGGTGATTGCCAACATGTGTTAATGCGGTTTCATTCAGTCCTTATCCATCGATAAAATTAAGTATCCTTTTAGAACAAATGCTTCAGAATTTAAACAGGCTAATAGGAAAAGGACAAGTTCATGAAAATCTCTCCTGTGACAGAAAAATCCATTCTTAACTAGTAATCACTTGTGTTTTGTTTAAGGCTGGGATTTTGAAACACAACTTTTGCCCAGATATTTGCCATGATTTACAGTCTGGAATAGTTGCTGAAAGTCAGAGGCAGTCTGCAGATTTTGGCCAGTTGGAGTTGACAGATTTCATAGAAAATTGCGTAGTGTATGATGGGCACAGACTATTTTTAGCTTCAGATTCTGATTCCGTCCAACCGGAGGATATTTTCAGCTAATTTTAGAACACATATTGTTTTCAATTGTCACGTGTCTCCTAGCAATGAGGCGCATGTTTCTGTGTGAGTTTGTTGTGTTCTGAACCACTTAAAAGTCTGATGAAGTGTGTGATCCTCAGTCTTTAAGTGTATGATGCCTGTAGAGTTTTAAAATCTGTTTAGATAGTGTGTTCCAGCCTTTAGTGGATTTTAAAAGCAGGACATTTAGTAAATATTGGTTTGAAAATTCAAATGTAACATTAATAGTTAATATTATAGATTAAAATACAATAGTTGTTGTGCATAAAATACAATTGAGTATTTTCTCAAGGTTTCACAAAGTGTGCTGTCAACAATTGCCAATTGTACTTTCTCAGTTTAAAGTTTAAAATGATTTTCACATTCCAGACAGCATAGAAATACCTAAATACCCTCCAATGCATGCGTTTGGATATCAGATAGACTCTCATGTGTGTGTCGGAGGAAGTCTTGCTATAATCAGCTCCAGCTGGGGTCTGGAGGCCTCAGAGTGATGAAGAGGGTCCTGAGACTTTTCCTGCTCTCTCTCTCCTCCTACTCTTAGTCCATCCTCCTTCATTTGTTTAATCGCAGATGGGGTCTTCAACCTTTTTCAGGCTAAGGAACCAACGTCTGACCTATACCAACATACATATAGTATCATAATGTATTTTGTTATGATGCTAACATTGCAATGCCGTTCAAATAATCATTATAGAAGTCAGAGTCATGTAATTGAATAACTTTGGTTAAAGTTAACATACTGATATATTTGTTTAATGCATTTTCTTTTCTTTTTTCTCCACAAAAATTAGCTTGATAATTGGCAGGCTTCTGATTGGCCTTATGACTCTTTTTTAACGTTTCTACATAGTTGTTCTCCACCCTTTCATCTTAATAACTATTGTCATTTTTTATAATTTCTCATGAATTTTTCCCTACTTTTGGACTCTCTTGTCCTAAATGACTTTGCCTGCTAATTGTTTTTACCTTTTTCTTTCTGCTTTATTTTATTGTACAGAATTTTACAATGATGATTAACTCACTTTGATAACTTAAGTAGTCAGTAGTTTGTGTTCATTTAAGTCACTTTTCCTCTCTGGCAGAATCAAGACAGAGTTTCAGTCAGTTCTATTGAGAGAGAGACAAGAAATGAAAGAGATGATGAAAGAGAGAAAGAATAGATTTAGATTGTATGTGTTTTAGAAATGTGTTATCATGCCTGGGAATCACTCTTGTATTTCTTGACATTTGACTATTGAGCAATCATTTTATTGCCAGAACATGCTCAGGGCTGCAAGCGGAGTAAGATTTCTGTGTGTGTGTGTGTGTGTGTGTGCCTTGTGTGTGTGTGTGTGTGTGTGTGTGTGTGTGTGTGTGTGTGTGTGTGTGTGTGTGTGTGTGTGTGTGTGTGTGTGTGTGTGTGTGTGTGTGTGTGTGTGTGTGTGTGTGTGTGTGTGTGTGTGTGTGTGTGTGCGTGCGACTGTGTGCATGTGCGTGTGTGTGTGTGTGTGTGTGTGTGTGTGTGTGTGTGTGTGTGTGTGTGTGTGTGTGTGTGTGTGTGTGTGTGTGTGTGTGTGTGTGTGTGTAAATATGACACGGCTCTGGACCACTGCATGTAAATAATACAGGATATGTTTTATACCTTTGAAGTAAAATTTGTTGCTGATCTGACCTTCTCAAATTCCTCGGCAGAGCAGAGCTAAGTTTAATGTAAGCATGTTGCGTGTGAGTGTGTGTTTATCAAACAGTGAGAGGTGGACAGCAGCACAGTATGATCACCATAGCAGTGAGATTCACAACAAACCTTCTGACCTCATACACTCACAGCTGAATTACAACTCTAGAAGAAATCCAAGAGGAAAACATTAATATCCTCAGTCTACTGCTCTGCTCTCGAAGCCCCTACATCCTAGTATTTTGTAATCGAGTAATCAAGGAACCTTGAAATATATATGTATATGTGTATATATATATATATATATATATATATATATATGTATATACACTCACCGGCCACTTTATTAGGTACACCTGTCCAACTGCTCGTTAACACTTAATTTCTAAGCAGCCAATCACATGGCGGCAACTCAGTGCATTTAGGCATGTAGACATGGTCAAGACAATCTCCTGCAGTTCAAACCGAGCATCAGTATGGGGAAGAAAGGTGATTTGAGTGACTTTGAACGTGGCATGATTGTTGGTGCCAGAAGGGCTGGTCTGAGTATTTCAGAAACTGCTAATCTACTGGGATTTTCACGCACAACCATCTCTAGGGTTTACAGAGAATGGTCCGAAAAAGAAAAAACATCCAGTGAGCGGCAGTTCTGTGGGCGGAAATGCCTTGTTGATGCCAGAGGTCAGAGGAGAATGGCCAGACTGGTTCGAGCTGATAGAAGGGCAACAGTGACTGAAATAACCACTCGTTACAACCGAGGTATGCAGCAAAGCATTTGTGAAGCCACAACACGCACAACCTTGAGGCGGATGGGCTACAACAGCAGAAGACTCCACCGGGTACCACTCATCTCCACTACAAATAGGAAAAAGAGGCTACAATTTGCAAGAGCTCACCAAAATTGAACAGTTGAAGACTGGAAAAATGTTGCCTGGTCTGATGAGTCTCGATTTCTGTTGAGACATTCAGATGTTAGAGTCAGAATTTGGCGTAAACAGAATGAGAACATGGATCCATCATGCCTTGTTACCACTGTGCAGGCTGGTGGTGGTGGTGTAATGGTGTGGGGGATGTTTTCTTGGCACACTTTAGGCCCCTTAGTGCCAATTGGGCATCGTTTAAATGCCACGGCCTACCTGAGCATTGTTTCTGACCATGTCCATCCCTTTATGGCCACCATGTACCCATCCTCTGATGGCTACTTCCACCATGTCACAAAGCTCTAATCATTTCAAATTGGTTTCTTGAACATGACAATGAGTTCACTGTACTAAAATGGCCTCCACAGTCACTAGATCTCAACCCAATAGAGCATCTTTGGGATGTGGTGGAACGGGAGATTCGCATCATGGATGTGCAGCCGACAAATCTGCGGCAACTGTGTGATGCCATCATGTCAATATGGACCAAACTCCCTGAGGAATGCTTCCAGCACCTTGTTGAATCTATGCCACGAAGAATTGAGGCAGTTCTGAAGGCAAAAGGGGGTCCAACCCGTTACTAGCATGGGGTACCTAATAAAGTGGCCGGTGAGTGTACATACAGTATATCATGTTAATTATATATTTATTTGGCTTCATGTTTCATATGTAGAGACGTTTCTCTTAGTTATTTATGTGTGGAACCCGTGCGGAACTCAGAACGTCGTCATTCGGAAGAGCAGGAGTTATGATCACATATTATGATTGACAGCTAGATCAAATTGACAATACAAGAGTCAAGCACTCTTTAAAGTCTACTCCAGCACATCCCAAAGACTTTGATGATCTGGATCTGGACTCAGAGGTGCCATTTCATGTGTGAAAATGATTTTTCATGCTCCCTCCAAACCATTCTTTCACAATTTGAGCTTGATGAATCTTGACATTGTCATCCTGGAATATGGCCATGATGTGTCCTACATGGTTGTTTAGGAAATTAAAAGTTATACACTCCATCAGTTGGGATTAGAAGAACTATTGCCAAACATATAACATGCTATAAACGTAATAATCACATGCCTTGTTACCACTGTGCGGGCTGGTGGTGGTGGTGTAATGGTGTGGGGGATGTTTCTTGGCACACTTTAGGCCCCTTAGTGCCAATTGGGCATCGTTTAAATGCCACGGCCTACCTGAGCATTGTTTCTGACCATGTCCATCCCTTTATGGCCACCATGTACCCATCCCCTGATGGCTACTTCCAGCAGGATAATGCACCATGTCACAAAGCTCGAATCATTTCAAATTGGTTTCTTGAACATGACAATGAGTTCACTGTACTAAAATGGCCCCCACAGTCACCAGATCTCAACCCAATAGAGCATCTTTAGGATGTGGTGGAACGGGAGCTTCGTGCCCTGGATATGCATCCCACAAATCTCCATCAACTGCAAGATGCTATCCTATCAATATGGGCCAACATTTCTAAAGAATGCTTTCAGCACCTTGTTGAATCAATGCCACATAGAATTAAGGCAGTTCTGAAGGCGAAAGGGGGTCAAACACAGTATTAGTGTGGTGTTCCTAATAATCCTTTAGGTGAGTGTATATATATATATATATATATATATATATATATATATATATATATATATATATATGTGTGTGTGTGTGTGTGTTTGTACCTACATGTGTGTGTAATTAAAATATTTTACAATAAAAATACATAATGTATATTAAATAAAAACAATATAAATTTAAATATATTATATAAATATGTAACGCGCCTATTAATACGACTCTACCACTGTTTTCTCCTTCTGTAGGCAGAACGTGAGGAGTGGCAGCAATTCCAGTCTGACCTGAAGGTGGCGCTAGTGGTTTCAGACAGACTGAGGGCAGAATCTGAGGAAGAGCTAAGTTCTTTAAGAGCAACAATGCAGGACATGGGCACACAGCTAGCCGATGCCTTACAGGGTCGCCAGGAGTTCAAAAGTCAATTAGAGATCCTCAGAGTTGAACTGGAGCAGAGCAAGCAGAAATTGAAGCAGGTCACAGGCAGCCACCAGGGGGCGCCGGTACTGAGGGGCCTAGAGAGACGAGTGGAGGGTTACGAGAAGAGCACTGGACCCCAAGAGCAACTGTGGACAGATGAGATTAAGGGAAAAAGAGAAATTTGCATCTCTGGTACTGCAGAGAGGTCAAGGTTAGTAGTATCCAGGATTCAAAATGTCAAAAATTTAGAAAAATGGATCCTAAACACACAAAGGCTAAAGTTTTGAGATCAAATAAATGTGAATTTTAAAAGTTTAATATAAAGTAAACTGGTTACACTTTACAATAAGGTCCCATTAGTTATCTTTAGTTAATGTAAATATACCTTTTAGCTGTTTTTCCTCTATATTTTAAATTAGTGCTGGTATGGTGTTTCGGTTGTGAATGACACTGTCTGCATCCTAAATACTATAGTAGGCGAAAAACAGTATGTGACAAAAGAAGTATCTCCTAATTCACAGTAGTCATAAAAGAGTAGGCAAAAAGTACCCGGAAGACCTACTTCTTCCAGTGAGATTCAGAAGTGTGCATATGATGGACACTTTACTATCCCACGAGGGAGAGAATTTGTGAATGGCAGTGACGCGACTAAAATCCCTTTCAAGGACGCGATGCAACTGACTCTGTGGTAGGTCACGTGATATGGGCAACATGGCGAGATTACATGTATTCTACAAACATTCATACTATATAGAATGTACTTTTTAAGCATTCGTGAAGTAATTCGGATGCAGCCCAAGTGTTTTTGAAGGAATCTGTTGAGTGAATGACTGAAAGAATTACTCGGTACTCAAACAGATGCTCACTCATCACCACCTACTGATGTAATGACAGTCAACAGTCACAGAATAAATCAGAATCTGACCGAGCTTTGTAGGTGATCTGAATCAAAAGATTCAAGTAAATTTAAAATGAATCAAAATCCTCTTCTCTTTAGCTCTTCAGGCTTTCTTTGAACATGTAGTAGTTTGTAAATCGAGGTAATGGATCTGTTTCGTCTGAACATGTTAGAATGGAGTCGATTCGCCTGAGTGGAATCGATTCCCACCTTTGGAATCTACAGTGCTCTCTCTCACTTCCCAACTGAATCAAAGAATCAGTTTTGATTCAGTCTTCTTATTCAAGCTTGTCTGTTCATCGAGTGAGTCATTCCATTTTGAATCAGTGCACAGTTCTGTAATGCATGCTGCAGATTTGAGAGCATTGTTTAGTGTTTCTAAATGATTCATTGTTTACAGCCCACAGTCTGTCAAAGAGACCTATGTTACATTCATGGATCATTCCATCATTTTGCAGGAGTCTCTGCAGACTGCCCTCCAATTACCCCGATGTTGTTGTAAATGGTACTTCCCAACCCTCCATGGCTATGACAACAGAATCTGTGAGTAGAAAAAGTCAAACATAATCTCTTTTCTGCTATTTTCAGTTGTTGGATTTTTTTTTTTATGAATACATCTGAAATATTTGCTCACTCCTCAGAGCAAAACTCAAGCAGCAAGTTTAGAGCATCAGAGCAACATGACCAGCTCCATTAAAGGTATCAAAACGGGTTTCATTTGCACAATATCCTGTTGATTGGGTTTCATTGAATATTTGACTCATACGGACACAAATTATTTATTCTGTGTGCGTGTCTGTGCATGTCTAACAGACAAGAAAGTGGAGAATTCACAACTACAAACATGCAACTCTTCGGGTTTAGATGTGACAAATAAGATCAACAGGACAAGGTGAATCAAACACCATTATCTCTTTTTCCATTACCATTCATTCATGAGAAATGATAGTCAAATAATAGAGAATTGACATCCATCTCCTTTCCCATCAGGACACAGGAGGATTTCCCATCAGGACTCAGGTCGCTGAGGCTTCATGGAAGTTCTAGGCGGAACTCCCTGCTTCGCTGGAGTCAAGGCAGAACTCAGGGATACAAGGTACTGAATTGAACCAAACTAAACGAAATAGCTGACAGATCAAACTTGGCAGTCAGCCACACACCCCCCTTGTCTCAGCCTTAGACAGCACGGACCACCCACAGTCCTTTCACTGGCCATCTGATGCACATTGTACACACAACTCAAAAGCACTTTCTCAATCTGGAAAGCTCTTGTCTGTCTCACAGGGTTTTTTTATCAGTCTGCCTGCAAAAAAAATAAAGCCTCGGAAGTCATGTTTACAAGTTACTGGGTTGAAAGAACAAACACTATGAATAAAGAAATTGTCACTGGATTTCCTAAAGTGAAATTTTGGTTTTGTTTGAGGCTGTTAGTAGCAAGATTAATACATTTATTCAGCTAAATGAATATATTTATGTTTAAATTAATATATTCAGCAAGGATGCATTGAATAAATCAAAGGTTACAGTAAAGATATTTATAATAATACTTAAAGTCTTTCTGTTTCAAATAAATGCTGTTCTTTAAGAATCTTGAAGAATTCTCTTCTTTAAGAATCACGGTTTTCATAAAAAATATTAATCAGCACAACTGTTTTCAATATTAAGAATAATAAGAAGAAATGATTCTTGAGCACCAAATCAGCATATTATAATGATTTCTGAATGATCATGTGACACTGAAGACTGGAGTAATGATGCTCAAAATTCAGCTTTGCCATTGCAGGAATAAATTACATTTTAAAATATATTAAAATAGAAAACAGTTATTTTAAATTGTTTTCTATTTTATAATATAAATATAATATAAATATGTATTACTGTTTTCACTGTATTGTTGATCAAATACATCCTCGGTGAGCATGAGACTTATTGCAAAAACATTTTTGAAAAGTAGTGTATATGTATTTTCCGCTGCCTTTATTTTTATTGTATCTGTGAAACAATAGGGATTAATTATTTTTATTATAGACAGGAATTGTCATCACAGAGTGTGAAGATATTTGCTTCTATTGATCTTTTTTTCTGTACAACCAATTCATGAAGACTGCCACACCATTGTTTAAATAAACTTTTTCTACACAGGTCTATTATTGTGATGCACACTATAAAACCAAACAGTATGTAACAAAGACTAAACTAACTGTGGTTGGTCACTTTATATATCAACCACCCAAGTCTCTTCCTGTCTAAGTGGGTGGTTCTTGGCCAGAACAAAGATGCAATAAAATTGTCTAAAATTGTCCTGACTGATGTAAAATATCTGCCTGTCTCTCTATCATTCTGCTGCCTCCTGTCTTTCCTGCAGAATATAGAGATCACTAATTTCAGCAGTTGCTGGGTGGACGGTTTGGCCTTTTGTGCGATTTACCACAGTTACCTCCCCTCTCACATACCATATGACAAACTCAGTCCAGAGAACAAGGTAATACACACATCTTACAGATGCTTGCATGCAAACATATTAGAAAAAGGGTTGTTATGATGATTTTGATAATGATTTTATCCATAGAAGGAGAACCTGACTCTAGCATTCCAGACTGGAGAAGGCTTTGGAATCTCTGCATCACTGGTGAGATGATTGAGTTTTTTTCTAAGCTGTCATATTTAATTTCATAACTCAATCCTATAATTAATCCACCCTGATTCAGCCACCAAACTAATCAACCAATGCACAATTAATTAGTTCCAGCTTGAATCAAAAACATTTTGTCAGATATTGGTACTGACTTCAGAATATGCAAGACATGAGAATGAAAAACATGTCAGGCCAGATGTGAAAATGACTCATGATTGAATAGATATGAGAAAGATATGATTGATTAGATATGTAATTGACTCAGAAATGAATGGCTGAACATGATAATTACTCAGAAATGATGGACTGGATATGTAAATGCCTGGCTGAATGTATTAACAATCATGATTGGCCTGATTCAAAAAACGACTCAGACATGATTCATTGGAATGATGCAAACATGAATGCAAACAGGATTTCATGTGGTTGTTCATTTGTGAATAATGTTTCATTGTGGTTCCTCAGACGGTGGAGGAGATGCTAAAAGATGATGCACCGGACTGGCACAGAGTTCTGGAATACGTAGAGCGCATCTACCGACATTTTGAGATGTGAGACTCTGGAAACATGTCCTGATCATTTGCACAGTCATCACAAATGCTTTCAAAATTTCATTTTGGCCTCAGAGGGGAGCGCACAACTTTGAACAACCTTGAAGTAGACCTGAAAGTTCATCTTTTGCTGCTGAATTTGTATTTGAGTTTGGCTGGTTAGCATGGCCCACTAACCCTGCCATGTATTCTGACTTATTGCAAGCAACAAGTGAATTGCTTGTTTCATTATATTATACTGAAGGGCTCTTAAAAGTGTCAAATGAACTTAAAGTTGGCATGAAACAAAGGTTGCAATAGTCTTTTCTATTGCAGTTATTATAAGTTATTGAGCAATTATTAGATTATGAGTGCACATGAATTAAAAAATAAATATACTGCAATATTCCATAAAAATACAAGAATTGTCCATTTTGATTTCATGTTGACTGTGTGCTTTCTTGTTGTGCCATTAATCAATCAGCATTTACTGCTCAGTTAATTAGCTCATAAGTTATGTGCCTAGAACTGAGAGCCCAAATGGAAACAAGCAGGTTGCATACTTGTGGGGTTTCTGCATTCATCCAACTGAGATTAACTGGAATGCTATTTGATGTTCTAGTATTATAGACCTCCTGAGCAAAACTCCTAAAGAAGAGCGGCGTGTTTGTGTAAGGTTTGTGAGTTTGGTGAGGAGTGTCCTGTTTTTATTATTGCTGCTTTCTGCCCTCTGCTGGTTTTCATGTGGAACGTTTTGCTCTTTTTTTTATTCAGATACAACACGACATGAACTACGTTGTAAATCACAAATAACAGAAATCATTACTTCTGTATGTGTGCCATGATTTATTCTCTGTGATATTAAAAGTCTGAATAAGGAACAGAGCTGATTCATTCAGCGCCTGTAATATCCTGTTCTGTTGACTTTGAGCCCCAAAACCCACTGATAATCTGACAGCCATTAGCGTTTTGTAGATATTAATGGCAAGTAAGATTCCAAAGACAATTATTAATAAATAAATATTTTTATTTATACTGTTTGTTTCATTGACCAATGAGGAGTGAGGCTTGGCAAAACTTGAGAGTGATGCTTGTTTAAGTAAGTGATTGAAAATGTGTGTAGGAACATGAATGAATATTCCTTATTTAAAGTGTGGATGAAAGAGATAGGCATCATCATAAATGGTTAACTGCACTTTACAGATTCAATAGTCTCAAATGTTAGTAGTACAGAAATATACACACATTATTGATTTCAGTATTATTATTTTTTTCAAGTCTCTCTAGCACTCTTGGAAAAGCATTCCTATTTATATTTATATTCCTATATGCAATTTTTAGTTAAGTGGTCTTTGATGGATAGAAGTGACTCTTCCTGTTTTGAATTGAATGAATAAACCAGTTGACTGACACATGATCATTGGATAGACACGTCAGAATGAAAGTTGTGTGCGTAAGGGAAAATAGTTCTCCTGTGAGGAAACAACTTTTTTCACAATAAAAGTCATTGTAAAAACGCATAATTAATCAAAGCTTTAGCTACTTTATGTTGGTACTGTAAATTAATGTGTGTGTGTATATATATTACTGAATCCTTTTGCCTTCCTTCGTCTATTTCTGTTTTGGGGGGTTTTGTATTGTATTGTATTTTACTTTTTCAATCTTTTTGATTTTTTTTTCATTTCTCCCTTGGTTTTTGTTTGAAAAAATATTCTGAAAAAAATGCAACAAAAAATAATAAAGCTGGAAAAAAGTGTATAACAATAAAAATGTTTCACAACATTAATACATTAAATTTTTTCACACTATGGTTCAATGCTTCCCATGATACTTGATATATTTTTGTAATATATTTATATTGATTTACTTTTTTCTCCAAAGAACGCATTTTAATGAGCATAATGCATTCTTAGGAGGGCATTTACAGTTTTGGTTTACTGGACACTGATCTGCTAAAGAACACTAAAAATTCTGCATGGATGAATGAGTGATTGAGAAAGACAGAAAGGTAGTTGAAAATGACAAATTAATCAAAATATGAAAGACTTTTACTTTGAAAATGAATTACGCAGCACATGCATTAACTGCTTCACAGACTTCCACGTATCCCTGAAACCAGGAAGCAAGAATGAATAAACCAAACAGACTCTGTAAACTCTCCCCGCCTGTCACCTGCGTGCTCTCCAATAACCCTCACTGAACCGCATTCATCAGCATGGTGAGTGTAAATAGATATAAATGTGAACTGTTGTTTTGTATTGTTTGTTTTGTTCTGAGATATCAGGTATCTTACTTTCTTCCTTCAGTCAGGTGACATTTAAAGTCTTACTGTGTTTTATATCAGTGCAGTCAGTGTAGTCAGGCTGATTTTAACTAAATTGATCTCTTGAACGTTTTGGGAATCATTAGTGAGGTTTAAATGCAGTTGTGATTTGACCGCCATTGATGAATGAAAGAGCTCCATTCAAATACACTGAAACGAGATGTTACTGATGAAGGCAGAGCCACGTAGTGCACGTACAGGTTAAGGAAGGATAGGACACACCTTCATACCTGTTAACAATGATCCAGTAATTACATTCACCTTTGTATGTCTATCTTTCTGTCTGTGCTGAAGGCTCTCAACATGGGTCAGAAGATCTTGGTGACAGGAGGAGGTGGATACATTGGCAGCCACTGTGTTGTGGAGCTCATTGAGGCTGGTTATCACCCTGTGGTCATCGATAATTTCAGTAATGCTGTCAGAGGTAAACAGACAGACTTCTATAAATCACACTACACTGCTGAAGGTCCTCGGTAGAATCCTGAACACATTGCTTTACAAAGAGTCTCAGAAATATCCTGCACACACTGTGAGCCCTTGTGTGGAATATATCAAGTAACTAATTAGACTCTTTTTTTTAAAGTATGAATTTAAATATTTTATTACAATATTAAATATTTTACATAGTATTTCCTATTTATAGGATGCAATATTTATATATTACATTTTGAAGTTTAAATAAGAAATATTGTAATAATATTGCTTGCTCTGCATTTTGGTTTAAGACAAAACTTCAGTTTCTTGTTAGCTGACAGTATTTTCTAATGTATTTTTTAAATGTCCGTCGTTCTTTGTGGATGTGTGTTGTGTTGAGGAGAGGGTGATGTTCCAGAGAGCTTGCGGAGGATAGAGACGTTTCTGAACACTCAGATTGAGTTCCATGAGCTGGACCTTCTGGATAAACCTGGACTGGAGAAAATATTTAAAAAGGTAAAAATGAACGCCTACTCGTGTTTGTATCAATGTATCCTGTATAATGAATCATTTTGCTGTTATACATTCAGCCACATGTCTGCTGTTTATATATATATATATATATATATATATATATATATATATATATATATATATATATATATATGCGTATGAGAAAATAATCGATATTACAAAAATAAAACAACCCAAATATTGGTAAATGTATTTTAATAAATAGAACATTACATTGTGTAATACATAAAATACTAAATAGATTTTCCTAGTGGGAAAATATGAATTTCCTAGTAGAAAATTATTATAATATTGCCTTTACTCATTGAATTGGACATGAACTCCCTCTCAAATCAGATTTCTCAGTTGGAAACTCAGATTTATTTAACCAGGAAAATTAAGTTTAACAGGAACATAAATTTACATTTGATATACAGTATAAAAAATATGTGAGGACTTTTAAAACACCATTTTAAAATACCACCGTGCACACCACTTACATATATATATGTGTGTGTGCTTTCATTTTTTTTTTCTAGCATTTTCTTAATTCAAATCAATCTACTAATTTCTGAACCGAGCTGGTTAAATGTATTACAGCGTCCCCTAATGGTTAAATGATTTTTATTGTTTTCTCTCTGCCCTGTGTCTCAGCACTCCTTCTATGCAGTGATGCACTTTGCAGGACTGAAAGCTGTGGGTGAATCAGTAGAACAGCCTTTAAGATACTACAGAGTCAATCTCACAGGAACCATCAATCTGCTGGAGGTAAGAAATGTGTCTGAAAATGTAAATGTCTTTGCATGGATCATTTTTATGCATGGAGAGTCCATATGAATCTGATTCTTGAAATCCAGATTTAGTACAGTTAGGGGTCTGTTTGTGCATATGTTAGTGCTTTCGGCTCTTAAGGAATGCCTTACTGGCTGTGGCTCTGTGTGTGTGTGTCTGAATCAGGTGATGCAGTCTCATGGGGTGCGTAATCTGGTATTCAGCAGTTCTGCCACCGTCTACGGAGACCCACAGAAACTCCCCATTGATGAGCAGCATCCAGTGGGTGGCTGCACAAACCCCTATGGCAAGACCAAGTATTTCATTGAGGAAATGATCAGAGACCAGTGCACAGCAGATAAGGTAGTTGACCGCTCTGTTATGACGCTTTTGTGTCTGTGTGGCAGGTGTGTAACTGATCAAATGTCTCGCAGGACTGGAATGCTGTGCTACTCAGGTACTTCAATCCCATTGGTGCTCACATCTCAGGACAGATTGGTGAAGATCCTCAGGGAATCCCAAACAACCTTCTGCCTTATGTTGCCCAGGTAACCTGTCTGAGCACTTGAGGTTCAGAGGAGTCTGTGTGCATTGTAAAGGATGTTGTTCTTTCTCACTTTGTATGGCAGGTTGCTGTTGGAAGACGAAAACATCTGAATGTGTTTGGAAATGACTACAGCACACCTGATGGGACTGGTAATAAGAGATGGTTTTCAGCATTTTATTTTTGTCTTAATATCTGTCTCTTATTTATTAATTTCTGGAGTTGTATTACTTTTGAATAATCAATTAGTTTTTTTATTCATATATTTATGTGTTGGTAATTTGAACAAACTATTAAACATTGTTTTTTTTTATTGAATTTTTAATTGAAATAAAGCTAAAATAAAATTAAAATATTAGATAGATAAACTTAAACTAAAAATGAAAATGAAATTTAGAAAAGTTCCCTTTGGCATTTAACTGAAATAATCAGTTTAAAGGTGCATTGCGCAACATTTCATGTTAAAAATACCCGTTTTTCTAACCCATACATGCTTAAACAATAGCCTGATGGGCTGAATGAGCCCTTCTCTGATCACTGCAATTGCCTCTATAATCCTGTACAGTAAAATAAATAAGAGGGATTCGGGCCGGAACGTGAGACTGGGCGTGACGTCATGCGCGTTCACGCTCCCCTGGCTATGTCTATTCGCCGCCATTCTCTGTATTAGCGAAGACAACTCGAGCGACAAAACTTCAGTCAACTTTCGACAAAAGTAGAAGATGGATTCAAAGAGACCGGCTTGTAGTTCATTAACCCCAATGCAAACTCCGCAAGACAAAGACAGGAAGGCAGTTTCGCTTGTCGCCAGAGGGGGGCATAGTTCTGCAAAAACTCAGAGAGGTGCGCAATGCACCTTTAAGGTAAAGTACTAAAATGACTAAAACTAAGCTTAGGAGATAGAAATAGAAAATGTATTTATTTTTTAAAAACGAATAAAAATGACAAAGCACATAATAAAATTACTAAAACTTAAACTCAATTTAAAATGAAACTGAAAATATAAAAATGAAAGCTATTTCAAAATATTAATAAATATTGTAACAGTATATAAATAATACTAAAATAACACTGAGTTTTTTTTTCAGAGTTTGTGTTTATTTAATCTTTATTTTAATTTTAGTGCAGTCTAAGTTTGTGCTAACTGGTATCATTTATCATTTTAATGAATGCAATTAAAATTCTCTGCAGTGTCTAATGTTTTTCTATTCAGTCAGAGGCATTTTAATGTTTAATGCAGAAGGGTTGTAAAGGTTTCAAGTTTTATAAAATCATGTTATATATGTTATGTTCTTTTAGTTTGCTTTCTTTGTACTCATGAAAATTGTTTAGTTACAGTTTTTTTCCCTAGTCATGTTTGTTTTTATTTCAGTTCATTTTGTTTCCATTTCACTGATTTACTCTTCCTGGCTAGGTGTGAGAGACTACATCCATGTTGTTGACTTAGCAAAGGGGCACATTGCTGCCATCAGGAAACTGACGGACAGCTGTGGGTGTAAAGTACGACATTTTTTCTTCCTCTTTGATGTACTCAGTTTTCCACATCCCTTTTTCTCAGTTTTACTTTTCTGTCCTGGTCTCTGTGAAGGTTTATAACCTTGGCACAGGTACAGGTTACTCGGTGCTACAGATGGTGAATGCCATGGAAAAAGCTTCAGGTCGAAAGGTGAGTGGTAAACCTGCTGTGGTCCAAAGCACATATTTACAATTTATATATGCATGCATGCATATATACAATTTGTTTAGCCTGAGGTCACCTTTATGAAATCTCAATGTGATGTTTAAACTCGCAAAATACCAATATTTTCTTCAATGGTAGTATCTTTCCTCTGGTCCCAGATTGCCTATCAGATTGCCCCTCGGCGGAGTGGGGATGTGGCCTCCTGCTATGGAGATCCAACTCTTGCGGAGAAAGAACTGGGCTGGAAGGCTGAATATGGCCTGGAGAGGATGTGTAAGTGTAAACTTAAAATAATTTTCATAGATTTAGATGGGTGAGAAATACTGACAGCTCACGATTAATCTGACTGTTTTATCTGATCACACAGGTGAGGATCTATGGCGTTGGCAATCCCAGAATCCCACGGGATTCAGTAATGGAGCACTGCATTGAAGCTGGATGAATGCAGACTGTTTCTTACAAAAATAAGGGAATTGCACTCATAGCAAAAAACAAAGCCAAACTGGGATTATGGTGTCTTTCATTTGTAATAATTATATGTAAAATCATTATATTACAAGAAGCCTGAATCTAAACAAATGATTCAATCTAATTCAGCATCTGTCTCTCTCTTTTTAATGTCATCTCACTTGTATTAAAGTACATTGATCTAATATAGAATTATTTATACTTCCTTGTCAGTGTTGACATAATAAAAATGATTTCATATGTGGTGGTCTCTTTTTCTTTTATTTTATCTGGAAGGGGGTTACATTTTTACAGTAATTTTTTCAGCATTTAACTAATTGGTTATTGGTTTACCTGGCAGGTTATTGTAACAAAACACATGCTTCAATAAAACACCTTAGACTCGAGTGTATGAAATTAAACTAGTTCCCTGTCAAATCATTGGCGCTGTTTCCTGGTTATGAGGCGAGAGGGCCAACATAAGTGCTAAAAAAAATTAAATGGGACATTTATTAATTTTAAGGCCAGAAGGCGTAAATGTATTGGTTTTGCTGTGCGGGGGCGCGTGTGCTTTAAGCGGTTCTCCGGTCCCGGGTGCTCCGGACACCCACGTCAGCAAAACGTTTTTCCAGCACAAACGGGTTTCGGTCTTTCGGGCAAAGCAGGAAGTGAAAGCAGTTCGCCCTGATAACAAAAGCTGGACAAATACATCCAAAGTAGGCAGAGAAATGGAGATGGTTTGTGAAAGTGGGACATGTCGACCATACCGGAGTGCGGGTGACGCGGGGCATCTGTGAGTATTATGTTTAAAGAGACTGGGGGAAACGGTGCCCGGGTGAAGAGGGTGGGCGAAGGGGACCAGCACGAGGCTCAGCGTCAACCCGCGGGGCGTCCGAGCTCAGGTAATCCGAAAAATTAAAAAAAAAGGCGACGGTGTTGCAAAGCCGGGTGTTTTGCGTTTTAAGATCCAGCCTGAGGTCGGTTCTGTGGGCGGCTCTCCACGGACGACAGGGCTCCCGTCAGAAACCACCCCACTGCCTCTATTCCCTTATCTGACAGCTTTAATTCGTAATGTAAGAAACCCTATGTCTGGTTAATGTTTAAATGCCCTTTTAGTAAAGTACAGGCGTGTGTGTGCGTTCTCTCAGGTATTTTATTTTCCAGCGGGCGTTTTACACATAAAGGGGGCAGAGCACTTCATCTCATAGCTAACTGACTTGTCCAGCGTTTTCTCGGTCGCTACGAATTCTATGGCTTTATATTCATTTGGTTATTTATTTATTTATTTATGTCTTGACTTGCGGTGTAACCCAGTTTTGGTAGTGTGTGCGTGCTGCGAGGGGAGACAAATGATGGAGATATTTTTTTCAGAACAGCAAGAACGTCCCCTAATTGTTCTTATTGTAATTATTTCAATGTCTTAAGCGTCAGTGTAAACCCCGCGTTTCTCGTCTTCTCTCCCGCTTTCTGTATTTCCTCCTTTTTTTCTCCCTGATTCTCTCCCTTGTTACCCGATGCGCAAAGTCGGGTGTTGCCCCTTCCACAGCGAATGTGCATGATTGACAGATGTGTAGTCCAATCAGAGAACAGTAGGCGGAGTCTTACTGCCTCCTTGTGAAATCAAATCGCTGCCATTACGTCACACAAAAGCACACATACACGCTGCAGAAATAATGTAAAAAGGAATAATGATAACTAAGTTAATTAGGCAAATCTTAAAGTTCTCACTTATTTTTTCAGACCTGTTCACAAATGGACCAGTGCAGATATGTCAGCCATTCACCAGAGCTGTTTGCTAAAACAGCTGGACCAGCAGAGGCAGCAGGAGTTGTTCTGTGACTGCAACGTCCTGGTTGAGGGACAGATTTTCCGTGCACACCGTAATGTCCTGTACGGCAGCAGTGGATATTTCAGGATGTTGCTGTCTCAGGGATCTAAAGACACTCTGGAGTCTGTAAGTGCTTCTTTTGATGTCTTCAGCCCTGATATCTTTGCCATAATCCTGGACTTCATTTACTCTGGTCAGCTGGAGCTCAACAGCTCTAATGTAATAGAAGTGATGTCAGCCGCCAGCTACCTGCAGATGAATGACGTAATTTCCTACTGCAAGGCCTTTATTAAATCTTTCCTTGAGATCAGTGCAAAAGAGGACGATGAGAATCGGTATTTGTGTCTGTCGGACAGTAGTCCTCTTCAGGACAGACGTGAGAACGTCATCGAGCCGTCCAACATGTGTGACGTCAGCATGAGCCCTCAGACCAGACTCTGGGATCAACAAGAGGATGAACAGCCGCAGGAAGACTTCAGAGGAACCAGTCCGCAGCCGTCAGGGCTTCAGCAGAACTCTCCTCCGCAGTCCAGCCTGGAGGAGGAGCAGTACGGCTCTGGGCTCCCGGAACGCAGGAGAAGAGGAAGCAGGAAAAGAACCGCCACCAGTCGCTTGGTAACAGAAGACACTTCTCTCATTGACCTACAGGGGGTGGTGTCACACTGCTCGCAGAAAGCAGACGAGCTGTACGCCAACCTTCCGTCAATTGTTGGGGTAGTTGGGGTGTTCAATAAAGGTAAGCACTGTTACACTGCCGTCTAAAAGTTTTATTCAGCAAGGATGCATGCATTAAATGAACCAAATATGACAGTAAATACTTTTACTTTGTTACAAAATAATCTATTTCAAATAAACGATGTTCGTTTGAACGTTCTATTCATCAAATACGAAGCAGCACATTTGATATTTTTAAATATTTTAAATGTTAAACACTATATCTTATATTTTAAACAGTTTATAATTTTAAATATATTCAAATAGAAACTGTGAAACTTTTAAATTGTTGTAATAATTCACAATATTGCTGTTTTTACTGTTTTTTATTATTAAATAAATGCGGTCTTGGTGAGCATAAAGACTTTAAAAACATTTTTTTAAAGAATTTTAGGGAACCCAAAAAATAATTAGAAATGATTTTTTATTCTTTTCTATTTAACATAAATATAAAGTGTTTTTCTTGTCCTCCAGCAAGACTTTCTCTGCCTCCCACCGTGAAAGAGTCAAGTCATATTGCACAAATCTGTTTTGTAATTAGGAGCTATTCAAGGTTTTAATCAACAGACAAAACTTGGACAGTAGATAAAAAGGCAAAACATTTCTCCTTTAGGCCTTTATCACACATTTTGCCCCTGATTCTTTCTTTATATCTCTATTATGCAATGTTTCTGGACTTTCTGGGTAAACAAGAGATTTTTGTTTTTTTAAATAGGCTTTCAGATAGTTATTTGATGTGGTGATGCGTGAAAGGGATCTGACAGTCAATGTCTCTCTCTCTCTCTGTCTCAGATTCCACTCCCTCTATGCGTTACAAATGTCCGTTCTGCACACACACAGTAAAGAGGAAGGCAGACTTGAAGCGTCATCTCCGCTGTCACACAGGTGAGCGTCCGTATCCCTGTCAGGCCTGCAGCAAACGTTTCACTCGCCTGGAACACCTGCGCAGCCATTTTGAGACGGTGAGAAACACACTAAGCTTCACACATGTCCGGTTCATTAACTCAAAAATATTGTACTTCCTTTGTGATCCCATTAAGTCAGGGTTAAATTCAGTCAAATGTATTTAGATGCGATTATATATAATTGTATATGTTTTTCAGCCTGTTAAACAAAAGAAAAATGATATTGATGTGAGATAGATCTAAAACATCCACTCTCCTTTTTAACACTTGTTACACAGATTCATCAGGCCCGTAAGCTGGTGTGCAGGAAGTGCAAACGGCATGTAACCGAAGTCAATGGGCGAGTGGTAAGCGAGGGAACCCGCAAATACAGGCTGTGCGACGTTTGCATTCAGGAGAGCGGCTACAGTGAGTTAATCACAGATGGAACTGATGAAAATGAGGAGAAGGAAGGCCTGTTGTTGGGTGTGGAAGAGAACATGAGTGACAACAGGCAAATTACATGGGTCATGGACGACGATGACCTCGCGGAAGATTCAGGAGCAGATCTCATAATCCAGGAAGTGGAGGACAGTGACGAGGAAGCCAGTGGAAAGTGATGCTATGTTTGTGTTTGTGACGGTGAATGGGTAAGAGCTGTCGTCTTGGCAGTTTAACATCTGTTAATGTTTCTCTTAATTTCATAAGGGAATTGATTGTGCGTTTTTGTACAAATAAAAATACTTTTCTCATTACAAATCTAAAGTATTTAAGTATCTGAAGTTTTTATAAAAGTACAAGTATATTTCTGTAATTTAAAGTATATTTAGTTTATTTCAAAAAAGGCATTTATGGCCAAAAGGACAATGTGGTGGTAATTCAATTTATATCCAAGGCTGACACACTGGGATTGTTCTTTAATTAAAATTTAAAAATTCTGTGATATCAAGCTTTCAAACTTTAGTTGATGCCAAGGTTTACATTTATCATTTTATATACTATGCTGCATGGAGTCCACGTGACCTACTTTGTGTAATGTGTAACAGACTAATTTATTGATTGCAACAAGTTATTTGTTATCAGTCACAGGCTCAACTTAAACATTGTCTAAATAAAATATTGTATGTATGAATGTATGTGTTTCTGTTTGACTCTGGAAATACCATCTTTGTAATTTGTCTTATTTTGACATGACAATTATTTTCTTTGATTATTTAGACTAAAGAAATGTATTTTATACATGCATTGTGTGTACGAATCATCATTTACATTTAACCAGAATAAAACGCAAATAAATTTGCTCATTCTATTTATACTATCATTTAACAAAAACTCTTGGAATTTTTCACTTTTTGTGCAAACAAGAAAACCTTTAGCTCTCGAAATCTGATCCCGTATTATCGCGAGATCTAAATGCATATATGGTGTTATGACGTCAGGGCTAATGGGGGCGTGTGAAGATGGCGGCGCTTATGATGAGAGTTGGTCCTGGTCCGTTCGCTTCTGTTCGGGTTCACCGACCTGCTCTGCACTCCTTTGCTGCCGTCGTGCTCAGATCCGTAAGTTTTTATTTGCTGCTCTGAATGGGACGATGTTATGTGGTTTGTATTTGCCCTTTTGTGTGCGTGTTTGTCTATTTTTTTGTGTGTGATTTGACAGGTCAGTGTGTCTGCCACTCAGTCATTCCCAGAGAGGGTTAAGATTGTGGAGGTTGGACCCCGAGATGGACTCCAGAATGAGAAGGTGAAGATCCTTCAGTTTATTAATCAGCCTGCATCACAATCCAACATGACAATGTGCAATGTGGTTATAACTTCTGTTTTGAGTTTACCAACTGTCAAACACGGGTGTCTCGAGTAAATCAAGTCAGTCTTGCAAATATCATGGAATTTCAAAGGTATAGTTAGGTATAGAAATTTGAATTACCTTTTAATATATATATATATATATATATATATATATATATATTTATTATTTGTTAAAAAACATTTCAAGTAATCGAAAATGATAGTTCATGGAAATGTATTAGTGTGAGAAGTTCTGGGAACCATGTGATGTGAATTAGAGGAGCAATATAATTTCTGTGTCCATCAGGCTATAGTTTCCACTGAAGTGAAGATCCGTCTGATTGATATGCTCTCTGAGGCGGGACTTCCTGTCATTGAGGCCACAAGTTTTGTTTCACCTAAATGGGTCCCTCAGGTGAGCTACAGCACACACCAATGAAGCATGCAAACATTACATTAATAGACCTTCACAAAATAAAATGCAATAAAATAGGGAATTATGAGAGGATCTTTGATGTAACCATTGAAGTTTGGCTGCATTTGATTGGCAGATGGCTGATCAAGAGGAAGTGATGCGTGGTCTCCACAAGAAACCTGGCGTGAATTACCCCGTTCTAACCCCTAATCTGAAGGGATTCCTGGCTGCTGTGAGTGAATAACAGCAGACTGTCATGTGCTAGTGCTGTACAAAATATGTTTTTATACTATCATTCAAAAGATTTTGGTCAGTAAGATTTAATAGAAGTAAACTAGATTTAACAGAATTAATACTGTTGTTCAGCATAAGGATGCGTTAAATTGATCAAAATGACAGCAAAGATTTTTACATTGTTACAAAAAAATCTATTTCAAATAAATGGTGTTCTTTTGAACTTTCTGTTTTTCTAAGAATCCTGGGGGAATTTGTATCATGGTTTCTACAAAAAATATTAATCAGTAAACTGTTAACAACATTGATAAAAATAAGACATTTTTCTTGAGCACCAAATCCGCATATTAGGAGGATTTCTGAAGCATCATGAGACACTTAAGACATGATGCTCAAAATTCAACCTTGCTATCACAAGAATAAATTACATTTTAAAACGTATTAAAATAGAAAACAGTGATTTTAAATGGTAGTACTGTTGCAGTGTACAGTTTCTGCTGTATTTTTGATATATATTATTTTTATCTCAGGTGAAGGCTGGTGCAAAAGAGGTGGCAATATTTGGTGCTGCATCAGAGCTTTTCAGCAAGAAGAACATAAACTGTTCAGTGGATGAGAGTCTCGTGCGCTTTGAGGAGGTGATGAAAGCGGCCAAACAAGAGGGAGTTCCTGTGAGAGGGTGAGACAAACACGGATTGCAGTTTGTCTCACTTATTTATTTTTCATAACCTAGTGTGCAAAAAGTTAAAATTACTGTGCTCTTATTGTTGAAAAATCCTCTTTTGCTCTGTTTTTCCAAGCTATGTGTCGTGTGTGCTCGGTTGTCCATATGAAGGGAAGGTATCGCCAAACAAAGTGGCAGAGGTTGCTAAGCGACTGTATTCCATGGGGTGCTATGAGATTTCACTTGGCGATACCATCGGAGTAGGCACTCCGGGTGGCATGTCGGAGATGTTGAATGCTGTGAAAAAAGAGGTTCCTGTGGAGGCTTTAGCAGTTCATTGTCATGACACTTATGGACAAGCACTTGCTAACATACTTGTGGCATTACAGGTGAGTGAGTCAGAGGGTGTGTGGAATCATGCCTAATGTCTCTTTGCCTGTCTGTCATGATTGATATTTTGTACTATATTTGTATTGTTTTATTGTATTTGCCCCTTAGGGCTTGGGCCCTATTGTTTTCCTAAGGTGAAAAAAAAATTCCGACCTTTTCGGCACTTTTGTGGACCTTATCATGCTCAAAAACTCTTGAAACTTTGCACACGTTGGAATTGTCCGCCTTCAGGGCCGGGCACAAGTTGACATGAGGGGGGCTCTATGGCGCACCCTTTTATATGGCTGTATTAGGGGGGCTCTGTAGCACACTATTTTTCACCTACAGTAACCAAACTTCATACACTTATAGATCGTGCCAAGCAACTTTCACTCTCATATTCATTCACCAGACAAACAGGAAGTCGGCTATTATGGGTTGTTTCAAAAACGCATGCACTGGAATTTGATATATTCCTCCTAGGGGATTCATACGATGGCCACCAAACTTGGTAAGCGTGAAGCCAAGACATTGATGCAGAATTGCTAGCATATTTTTTTCTATTTTGGACGGTTTGGCGAAAAAGGGAAACAGGAAATTTTTAATAACATCTGCGTACATTGATTTTAATGAAACTTCAGCTGTGTGTCCGTTTTACCTACAATCCCTAAATTCGGTACATATATTGTTCTCACCAAGCCGGACAACTTTTTAGTTTAGGAAGTTTAGTTTTTAGTTTAGGAAGTATATTTTTGTTTGGATGTGAATTTTTTTTTTTAATCAAGCTCTTAATTTTTAACTACTGCACCAAATGGCTTCATACAATTTACACCAAACTTTCTCAACATGATGCCTATATAGTGAAGATGCTAAATTGCGAACGTGTGTTGGGTATCTTGAACGGTGTTGAAATGGCGAGGGATTAAAATAATGACAGGGATTAAAATAATGACAAATGGGAAACTGGAAGAGTCTCGTATCTTCTAAAGAATACTTTTTTTTTTTTTTAGATAATTAATGCATTATGCGTGCGTGCGTGCTTTTTGGTAAAAAATATACTATTGTCATAGAACTTTCTGCATTTTTACATTTTCAAAAAAACTCATTCTGTATGATTTATAAGCTTGTGTACCTCAATAATTAATATAATATATTAACCTGTATATCAAAACTATAATAACCTGTGTGTGTGTGTATCATCGGGGTGACGGTGGTGTCATGGCTTGGGCCCATCCTCGATGCTTGCAGCTATAATTTTCTATTGAGACCTGCTCTTTGCATACATACCGTGCATTCTGTTATTTTTCACATTCTTAAAATGAGCAACTACTTTTTAAATACAAAACACTTTTGTTTCCTGCGATCTATTCTAGAATGGGGTAAGTGTCGTGGACTCATCTGTTGCAGGGTTAGGCGGCTGCCCTTATGCCCAGGGGGCTTCTGGGAATGTTGCAACTGAAGATGTGGTCTATATGTTGCACGGACTGGGAATCCATACTGTAAGTCCAACACGACTGTGTCTGTACTTATTTTTTCTGTAAATGTTTCTGTCATCTGGGTTTTTCTTTTTGAAAGTTCTGGTCTGTAAATGCATCATTTTACTAGCCCTACCCAAAACAACTTGGTTTTGATAGGTGATGTTACACCAAATTACTGATTTTGCTGGATGATTGTGTATCTTCTTAATTGGGGCTTTCTGTAAAGTACACCACCCTTCAAAAGTTTGGGGTCAGTAAGATTTTATGTTTTCGGAAAGAAGTCTGCATTATTTGATCAGTAGTTATACCGTAAGGGAGTATAAGGTAATGATCAGCTTCAGAAAGAAAAAAAAGTTTACTAACTAAACATAAATTAAACAAATTGTTCTCCCTCTGCTTTTGATTTTAGTAATCATTTAGAGAACCTTCAAATTAGGGACTTGTAAAATCAGCAGCCAATCAATGCATACTGGCATTAGTCATGTGACATTCTTCATAACAATCTGAACTTTGGTTCACAGTCACACTGCGTGATTTTGACCACGATTTGGCTGTCTGAGACAAATTTTATAAATCCTAAAAGATGTCTTTGACAATTATTTTGATATGTTTACCGACAGCCGATTAATGACCATTCGTCCCCTTGGAATTATAAGGTTCTATCTGCGTTCTGAGCAGTTTTGAGATATTGAGCTTCAAAGTTTTTGCATTACATATAGGAAAGTTTATATGGGGAACAAGTTTCTTTCAAACATGAAAATAACAGGGACCCTACATGTGTTCTAAATATACAATATCAAAATCCTCTCAAATTTGTAAATGTTTTTTTTTTAGAATGGGTCAAATGCAGATAGAACCTTCTAATTCTAAAAAAACACTTTTCGCTTAGAATTATAAGGTTCTATCTGCCAAAACATTATTTGAACATTAAATATAAAATTAATGTTGTAACAATGTCTCAACATGTGTTAGAAAGTAAAATTTTATCCTTTCTATGGCATTTATTTCATATTTTTTTGCACTTCCATGTGTTTAGGACATTTCAAATTAAGCAAGGTAGGTCTAAATATTTTGTCCAGTGCAGAATCTTAATTTTCGTTACCAATATGTTGGGTAATTAAACACATTATTGCAGAAATTGTTACTTTAATCTTTCTTTTGTTTAGACAGAAAGCAGCTACTGTAATACATCTGAGCAGGACTTTACTCCAGCTAAAGTGGGCCATGTAAAATGGCTTTCTCTCTAGACATCAGTATGGCTGAAATAACATGCTAAAGTTTATTGTTGGAATTAAGACCCCATCAATTAAATTGTTACCTATTTGACCTTTAAGGCTTAATATTGTAAAAATTAAGACATTTCAAGATTTTAAAAACTACAAGAAAATCGACATGCTTCAGCAAATTAATTCATAAAGTTTAATAATCATTGAAAAATTATTCACTGACTATATGATCACAAAAAATGTCAGACAAATTTTTTAATCACACACACACACACTCTGGCTGCGTCCGAAACCGCATACTCAATGAGTAGGTACTTAATTTCAATAAGTAGCTTACTTAACGAGCGCTAAAAGAGTAGGTACTTTATAGCCAAATCTCGTTGAGTATGAATGCGATCCGGACATCATCGCCATGTTGACGTTATCATGTGACCTACGACGCGTTATCACAAGCGCAACAACTTAAAAGATGAACGACACGTTTAATTAATCTATCTGTAAATATCTTGATATTGATGAAAGTTGCTTATTTTGTGGTATTGTTGAAGAAACAGCTGCCCATTTATTTTGTGAATACATTGAGGGTTGATTTAAGCAGTTTTATCCTTATAACGATATAATTTTTTTATTAAGAATAAGAAACCCACACGCTGTCACACACTTTCACACACACACACACACACACACACACACTCGCACACACACACACTCACTCGCACACTTTCTCAAAAATACACACACTCACACACACACACACACACACATTTTCACACACTCGCACACACACACACACACACACACACACACACACACTTGCATGTTAAATGTTTTTTTTTTAATATTCAATTTACTCACTGCATATTTGTATAATTCAGATAATAATAACTATAATAATAATAGTTATTAATAATAACCTCATTAATAATTAATAATAATAACCAATACACTATAAAGAAAATGGCCAAATATAGCGTTAAGCCACTTCATAACACTACACAATTTAGTGAATATTTAATTTACTGTAAATGTATAGCATTATGCCTTTATGGGGTTTCTTCTTGTCTTCAAGGAAAAAGCCGGCGACATGACATATAAAGTTGATCCTGATTGGTCCTCTTCTGTGCATTCGAAGTGCTGATTGGCTCACGCAGATAGAACCTTATAGAGCCAAGTTAGTTCAACTTCGTAGATAGAACCTTTTTGTTTTTTCAATAAAAAGTCACACAATGTACACAACTTAAAAAAACACATCACATAATGTAAATAAGTTGTCACAGAATATGAATATGTGAATAACTCAATTTTGACAAAAATGTCAGATAGAACCTTATAATTCCAAGGGGACGCATTGCCAGAATTTCATCTGAGGTAAAAATTTGATTGCAGTGTCAGAAGATTTGAAGCGCAGTCCTGTAATGTGACTTCTATGACAACCATCAAATCAAAACCAATAGGAGCACAGAACCTAATGATGCAATTACTGATACAACAAATCACCACTTGCTCCACACACATCGTCTTCGTTTTTTACCTTTTCAAGAGAACCATGATCAAAATTAAAGCTAGAGATTGTTTTTGTTTGCCAGCCAACATTTCAATCCCGCATGTAATTCAGCTCACGTCACGGATAGATGTAAAACTATGAAGGTAAATCAGTAGCTAAACTCGAGAGCACGTAGATGTGAATTTGAGAACTTGTACAATAAATATTCGTACTTGTATGTGAACATTTACACTCACAGCTCCAATGTGAAAACCTGTTAAATAAAAATCTGAAGTTGAGTTTTGCACTCGCAGACAATAGTCACAAACCTGTATTCTGAATCTGAAGCTGCAGATAAGCAGTCACAAATGTGTAAAATGCCATTCACAGAAATACAATGACAGTCACAAACATGTAAAATATATTTGCACTTCTTCTAACATTCAAATTCGCAGTACAACCTCAAATTGGCACTTGCAACTTCTCAAATCTGTCACTGCAAATTCAAATTTCGCGCCTTGACTTTTGCTACTCTTTTCGTGATATATGAGGTGCAAAACTGATTTGTGCACTTGTAACTCAGTGGCGGTGAGAGCGGAAGGGGGGCGGGAGCGGGGGTGTTCGAAGGAGCCGTTTTATTGGTTGGCGCCTAGCCAATGAAATGGGACTTCTATTGTACGCGATGATGTCACGAAACCCGCCTCCTCGTGGATGTTCTGAAACGCTAACATGGCTTAATGCATTAGACTAATTTAAAAGACATAAATGATATTATCAAACTTAGTGATATTAACACCATACTAATAATGCATACTACAGAAAAGCAGATGAGCACAGAATATGACGAAAGAAAGCAAATTTGTGTTCAGTGCAAATAAACCAGCTGCCTGTGTTTTATTAATAATGTATAACGATTTTTTTTAGATTTTTTTTTTTTTATAACTGTTGGTCCATTAAGCCTCATTAAGCGTTTTCTTGGTTTCCTATGAGAGGAAAATGCTTAACGTACAATTAAACGAGTTGCGTTCATTTTCTGCTCAATTGCTTTTCTGTATGCTTTATTTATGGTGTTTCCTGAGTTTGGTCTTTTAATACCACTGTCTTAAGTTAACGTGTTGCGTTCATATTCTGTGCTCATCTGCTTTTTTGTAGAATGCATTATTGTGTTTACTAAGTTTGATAATATCATTTATGTCTTTTAAATTAGTCTAATGCATTAAGCCATGTTAGCGTTTCAGAACATTCACGAGGAGGTGGGTTTCGTGACATCATCGCGTACAATTAAAGTCCCATTTCATTGGCTAGGCGCCAACCAATAAAACGTCTCCTTCAAACACCCCCGCTCCCGCCCCCCTTCCGCTCTCACCGAAGTTGCAAGTGCCAATTTGAGGTTGTACTGCGAATTTGAATGTTAGAAGAAGTGCAAATTTGTATTACAAGTTTGTGTCTGTCGTTGTATCTTTGTGAATGGCATTTTACACAATTGTGACTGCTTGTCTGCAGCTTCAAATTCAGAATACAGGTTTGTTATAGTCTCCGAGTGCAAATCTCAGCGTTCAAGTTCAGATTTTTATTTTACAGGTTTTCACATTGGAGCTGTGAGTGTAAATGTTCGCGTACACGTGCGAATATTTATTGAACAAGTTCTCAAATTCACATCTACGTGCTCTCGAGTTTAGCTACTGATTTACCTTCATATAAAACCACCTACGTGTCTTGTGTGCATGGGTGCGATTTGTGAAAAAAACAGAGGGGGGGATGTTTTGAAAAAGTTTTATTCATAAAAATAAATCATGAGAACATGAACTTCATCACTGCAATTGCAGGAATTGTAAAATCTTTTTTCTTATTAACTCATGAAGTAGCCTATGCAATATTTTTACTCTAATAGCTTATATGAACTGTGATCACGCACAACGAAAAAACACGCAAGAATTAAATCCCCCTCCCAGTACCATGGATAGTGCCACTCGGCTTGACATGTAAAAACACTTATTTATGAAGGGCAAAATTAAATGGCACAATGTAGTGTCAACTTAAACATAAATAGGCTATAGTGTAGGCCTTTTCATCATACTAGGAAAACAGTCTCTTTCTGCTTTCCTGTGGGAAAATCGGCAGCTTTCCAGTGGGTGCATGGTCCATTTCGGATTTTATTGTTAATCGCACATTCGCACTGACAGTTCACATTACAACGCTTTACTTAGTTTAGGCTAGGCTCCTTCTATCAGTCTGCTGAACCATGGATTGATTGCAAAGTTAAACCATCACAGTAGAAACAGTTGTACTGCTGTTAAAGTAACAACGTTAAC